CTTCTAGTCTAGCTCTCTGCTGTGGTCCGGGAGGGCAGTGGAGGATGGCCCAAGTACTTGGGTCCCTGCACCCACATGGGAGACCAGGGAGAAGCACCTGCCTCCTGGCTTCGAATCGGCACAGCACCGGCTGTAGCGGCATTTGGGGAGTGAACCAATGGAAGGAAGACCTTTGTCTCTCTCTCTCTCTCTCTCACTGTCTAACTCTATCTGTCAAATAAAAATTGTTTAAAAAAAGGACAAATTTATAAATTGGTCTTCATCAAAATGAAAAAAGAATACTATATACTTTTAAGATTTATTTGAGGGGTGGTGCTGTGGCCTAGTGGGTAAAGCCACCACCTACAGTGTCAGCATCCCTTATTGGTGCCGATCCAAGTCCCAGCTGCTCCACTTCCAATCCAGCTCTCTGCTATGGCCTGGGAAAACAGTAGAAGATGGCTTAAGTCCCTGGGCCCCTGTGTTTTTCCTTCTCTCTCTCTTTAACTCTGACTTTCAAATAAAATAACCCTTTATTTTATCTATTGTAAAGATTGATTTGAAAGGCAGAGTTACATAGAGAGGAGGAGAGACAGAGTGCGTGAGAGAGCTCTTCCATCTTCTGGTTCCATCCTCTTATTCACTCCTCAGATGGCACACTACTTAAATGGATGCAACAGCTGAGGCTGGGCCAGGTGAAATCAAGGAACCTGGAGCTTCTTCTAGGTCTCCCACATGAGTGCAGAGGCCCAAGGGCTTGGGTCATCTTCTGCTGTTTTCTCAGATGCATTAGTAGGGAGCTGGATTGGAAGTGGAGCAGCTGAGCCTTGAACTGGCACCCTATATGGGATGCCAGCATTGGCTTTGCAGATGGAGGTTTAACCTGCTATACCACAGTGCCAGCCCTTTCAAAGAATACTGTTAAGAGAATGAAAAAGAAAACCACAAATTGGACAAAAATAATTTTAAGTTACAAATTTAATAATTTTTATCCAGAACATATTCAGAGTTCTATAAATACTCAAAAATAAGGACATTAACTCCTTATAACTAATCATGGGGCAGTTTTTGGCACAGTGGTTAAGCTGCTGATTGGGATGCCTGCATTCCATATCCAAGTGCCTGGGTTTGAGTCCCAGTTGTACTCCCAATTCCAACATCCTGCTGATGCGCACCCTGGGAGGCAATGGATGTTCGCTCAAATAGTTGGGTCCCAGTTTCTAGCTTTGGCCTGGCCCAGCCCTGGCAGTTATGGGCATATGGGGAGTGAATCAGCAGATGGGAATTGACTCTGTCTATCCTTTATCTCTTTCTCTTTCTCTTTGTCTCTCTCTCTCTCTTTCAAATAAAAAAATTTTTAATACAGAGTAAAGGTCCAAATTGAAACATCACCACAACAGTTCAGATGGCAAATAATAATATTAAAAAGTGTTCAGCATCACTAGTCCTTAGGGAGACAGAAATTAAAAATACATGGAGATACCACTACCCATCTTTAGAATCCCTTTAGAAAAATTAAAAAGAGACCGATGTTGAGGTGTAGCAGGTAAAAGCCATGAACCTGCAACGCTGGCATCCTGGTTTGAGTCCCATCTTCTTGACTTGTGAACCAGCTCTCTGTTAATGTGCCTGGGAAAATCAGTGGAAGATGGCCCAAGCGCTTGGGCCCCTGCACCCATGTAGGAAACCCAGAAGAAGCTCTTGGCTCTTGGCTTCATCCTGGCCTAACACTGGCCATTGCAACCATCTGGGCAGTTACCAGTGGATAGAAGATCTCTCTCTCTCTCTCTCCCTCTCTCTCTCTCTCTCTCTTTTCTCTCTGTACATCTGCCACTCAAATAAATTACATTATAAAAAAAAAACAGAAAGGAAAAAATTCAGGAAATACATATAGCTTATGAGTAAGTAGAACACCTGGAAATCTCATACATTGTTGGTGGAATGCTAAGTGGTCTTGGCACTGTGGAAAACAGTTTGACAATTTCTTATAAAGTTAAACATATAATTACCATATAAGCTACACATCCCATTTCTAGATAGTAATCCATGAGAAATAAAAAATTAAGTTCACATAAATACCTATGCATGTATATTTACAGTAGTTTCATTCAATTTTGCCAGGGCTGGTATCTGCTTAATTGTGTTCACTATGATGAGTGAATTTTATGTCATGTTCATTAAAAATATTATCAGTGGGGCTAGCACTTTGGTATAGTGGGTGAAGCCACTGTCTGTGGTGCATCATATATAGGCGCTGGTTTGTGTCCCAGCTGCCCCACTTCCAATCCAGCTCTCTACTATGGCCTGGGAAAGCAGTGGGCCCCTGCACCCATGTGGGAAATCCGGAGGAAGCTCCTGGCTCTTGGCTTCAGATGAGGTCAGCTTTGGTCATTGTTACCACCAGGGGAGTGAACCAGCGGATGGAAGACCTCTCTCTCTCGCCTCTGCCTCTGCCTCTCTGTAGCTCTGCCTTTCAAATAAATAAATGGATCTTTAAAAAGCAAAATATTATCAGCCATGCTTGAGTGAAACCCAAATGGAATGCAAACTGTAACAAATGAACCTAAGCATATTATAAATGAGCAGCATAAACACACAAAGGGAGGAGAGAACAACTAATCTAGTTCTTAGGAGAAGAAGTAATCTAATTACCTTGGACATGTTATTTGGTTAGATATTCTAAGACTAGTGACTTTCTCACAGGGATATTGTTTGACAATTCTGAACCTATTGTGTGTGTGTGTAGAGTAGATTTTAATTGGTAAATGTATTGTAGAAAATGGGAACCAATTTTCTCATAGCAACAAATAGTATATAGCTGTTTAATATTATGGTAAAATTATGGATTTAGTCTCTTTCCTTATGGGAACCTTAGGAATACAACCACACCTAAAATGTTTGCTCTATAGAAAATGTTTCAAATTCTTTACAGTTTGTGCTTCTGGTTTACTTCCCATTTGTAAATTGGAGACAAATAGATGTAAGAAAAATTCCATCTGTGATTTCATGATGCAAAGATAGCCATTGTTAACATTTAGTTATACATCCTAGTAAAATCTCTTTGTTTGAACATGTTGGACACAGGCTGTGTCTGTGTATGTTTTATGTTGCTAACATTTGTTTGACTTCTAGATTGGACACAAAATAAGGAAAGTAGGACCCAGGAAATAGGCATTACAAAAACATTCTTTTTTCTGAAATACAGTTTTGTCTGAATCTGAACTTGTTTCTTTTTTCTCCCTACACAATAATGTGGAGGAATATAGAATATAGGAAAAACAGAGTATTTTGTAAATACAGATGGGCCTTATATAACAATCACATTGGGGCTGGTGCTGTGGCGCAGTGGGTTAATGACCTGGCCTGAAGCGCTGGCATCCCATATGGGTGCCGATTCGGCTGCTCCACTTCCGATCCAGCTCTCTTTTATGGCCTGGGAAGGCAGTGGAGGATGACCCAAGGACCTGCACCTGCATGGGAGACCCGGAAGAAGCTCCTGGCTCCTGGCTCCTGGCTTCGAATCAGTGCAGCTCCAGCCTTTGCAGCCAACTGGGGAGTGAGCCATTGGATGGCGGACCTCTCTCTCTCTCTCTCTGCCTTTACTCTCTCTGTAACTCTGGCTTTCAAATAAATAAATCTTTATTTAAAAAATCCCATTGAGAAAATTATTGGCATGTAGGCACTTAATGTGATGCAATGATTTTGAGTATGGTTTACATCCAGTAAATAATACAGACATTAAATGTATTCTTTGATGAGATTAAGAAATTATACTTTAATAAAATTTAAGAGTCAGTCATGTAGAATGATATGGTATTTGCTGGGTAGAGTAGAAAGGATTAGATAGAGGATAGACTATGTCCTCTTTGAATATATCTCTTTCGAAAATAAATATTGTGTATATTTTTGAAATTGTATCAGTATGCATTGGGGGAGCAGTGCCTTTGATACAGGGTTTGCTTTTTTTTTTTTTTTTATTTTTCTTTTGAGCAGGATTATTTTTGTGCTTTTGTGAGTAAATTTTGTTGTAGGGGTAGGCAGTTGCCTAGAGGTTCAGAAGCCAATTAAGTTGTTGATATCCTGCATCAGAGAGCCTGGGTTCAATACCTGGCAGCAACTCTTATAACCAGCTCTAGGAGGAGGCAGTAGTGATGGCTCATGTAATTTGGTTTCTGCCACTTCCATGGGTCACTTAGATTGAGTTCTGGGTTGTGTCTTCCAGCTTCAACCCAGTCCAGTCCTTGCCAATGCAAGCATTTGAAGAGTATACCAGTGAATGAATGGGAACTCTGTTCTGTCTCTCTTTCTCTCTCTGACTCTCAAAGAAAAAAAAAATTTTTTTAATTTGTTGTATATATCTGAGATTTCCAATATGCAGTTATAGAATAGTAGAAACAATAAAATGGTTACTATAGTGAAGTAGGTTAACGTACCTGTCATCTCACATAGAAACGAGCAGCTAACATCTTACTTTTGTTAAGTCTGTAATACCATAGAATTTTATTAACTTTATTCCTCATTCTACATTATTATTAGATCGACATTTTTTTAATTTTTTAATCATTTATTTATTTATTTTAAATTCAGAATTACACGGAGAGAAGGAGAGGGAGAGAGAGAGGTCTTCCATTTGCTGGTTCACTCCCCAATTGGCCACAATAGCCAGAGCTGCGCCAATCCGAAGCCAGGAGCCAGGAGTTTCTTCTAGGTCTCCCACACTGGCGCAGGGGCCCAAGGACTTGGACCATCTACTACTGATTTCCCAGGCCATAGCTGAGAGCTTGATGGGAAGTGGAGCAGCCTGGTGCCTGTAATCTACATTATTATTAATCTTTAGACTTGTTCATCCTATATGTCTGGTATTTTGCATTCTTTGACTTATATCTCCCTATTGCTTCTCCCCTAAAAGCAGTTTTTATGTCCTTTTTCACATGATAGCTTATAAGTGCTTTTATTCTCAAAGAAATGATTGTGCTGATTTAATCTGTTCATTTTAAAACAACATTTTTTTTTAATTTTAGGCACGAGATGTGCGTACCAATGAAGTGGTGGCTATCAAGAAAATGTCTTACAGTGGAAAGCAGTCTACTGAGGTGGGTTAAATATGTATACTTTTATTGGCATGTTAGAGAAAGACATGCTATTTTTAACTGCAGAGAATGGGTGGAATTTTTTTAAAGCACAGTGTACAGAAATAAATGTATACAAATCTTAAATGTATATCTTACTTTTCTTTTATAATCTATTACATAGAGCCATATATACAACATTACTGGTATCCCAAAAGCTATGTAACTTTTACCTATGATTTTTAACTTTTTAAACTGTTGTTTGCTATATTATTCTATGTGTATTTTGGAGGCATTGTCAGTTTCTAAAGGGCTAATTAATATTCTTGACAGTAAATTTTGTTGAATATAATATTTGTAGATGTTTAAAAATTGTTTAGGACTGGCTTTGTGACACAGCAGTTTAATTACTGCACACAACACCAGTGTACTATATCAGAGTGCTTATTTGAGTATCAGCTGCTCCATTTCCCATCCAGCTCCCTGCTAATACACCTGGGAAAGCAGCAGAAGATGGCCAGCCGGCACCTCGGCTCACTAGGCTAATCCTCCACCTTGCAGTGCCGGCACACCGGGTTCTAGTCCCAGTCGGGGTGCCGGATTCTGTCCCGGTTGCCCCTCTTCCAGGCCAGCTCTCTGCTGTGGCCAAGGCCAGGGAGTGCAGTGGAGGATGGCCCAAGTGCTTGGGCCCTGCACCCCATGGGAGACCAGAATAAGTACCTGGCTCCTGCCATCGGATCAGCGCAGTGCGCCAACCACGGCAGCCATTGGAGGGTGAATCAACGGCAAAGGAAGACCTATCTCTCTGTCTCTCTCTCTCTCTCACTGTCCACTCTGCTTGTCAAAAAATAAAAATAAAAAAAATAATAATTAAAAAAGAGCAGGTTGCTAAGGGCAGGCGTCCCTGTCAGGGGGCGCAGGTTCGATTCCCAGCGCTTGCTCCTGACTGTGGGAAAAAAAAAAAAAGAAGAAGAAGAAGAAGAAGATGGCCTAAGTGCTTGGGTCCCTGCACTCATGTGGGAGACCAGGGTGGAGTTCCTGGCTGCTGGCGTTGGCCTGGTACAGACCTGGCTGTTGCAGCCATTTGAGGAATGAACCAGAGGATGGAAGATCTCTCTCTCTCTCTCTCTCTCTCTTTCTCTCTCTCTCTGTCACTCTACCTTTTAAATAAATAGATCTTTAAAATGTAAATAAATAAAATAAATTTTACTTACTTATTTATTTATTTATTTATTTTTATTTTTTGACAGGCAGAGTGGACAGTGAGAGAGAGAGACAGAGAGAAAGGTCTGATCCGATGGCAGGAGCCAGGTACTTATCCTGGTCTCCCATGGTGTGCAGGGCCCAAGCACTTGGGCCATCCTCCACTCCCTGGCCCTGGCCACAGCAGAGAGCTGGCCTGGAAGAGGGGCAACCGGGACAGAATCCGGCGCCCCGACCGGGACTAGAACCCGGTGTGCTGGCACCGCAAGGCAGAGGATTAGCCTAGTGAGCCGCGGCGCCAGCCTAAACTAAATTTTAATCAATAGGAAGTGTGTAACAATCTGAAAAAAAAAAAAAGTAAATTATTGCTACTATATTAAATGGACCTTAGTATTTTAAAAATTTATTTGAAAGGCAAAGAGACAAAGAGATGTCTTCTGTCTGCTGGCTGACTTTCCAGTGTCTACAGCAGCCAGGCTTGGACTAAGCTTAAAGCCAGGGGCTAGGAACTCAGTCCAGGTCGCCCATGTGAGTGGCAGGGTCTCAGCTACTTGAGCCATCACCCATTGCTTTCCAGGGTACATATTAGTAGGAAGCTGAACTCAGAAGTGGAGCTGGAAGTAAAATCTAGGCACTCCAGCATGGGATGCAGGCATCCCAACCAGTACCTTGATCAGTGTGCCAAAAGACCTTAAAGATATATTTTATTGATCTGAAAGAGAGAAGAGAGAGATTTTATTTTTTGATTTATTTATTTATTTGAAAGGCAGAGTTACAGAGAGGCGGAGGGAGGGAGGGAGGGAGGGAGGAAGGAAGGAGAGAGAGAGAGAGAGAGAGAGAGAGAGAGACGCCTTCCATCCGATGGTTCACTCTCTAGATGGACGCAACAACCGAAGCTGCACCTATCCGAACCTAGGAGCTTCTTCCAGGTCTCCCACAAGGCTGCAGGGGCCCAAGGACTTGGGCCATCTCCTACTGCTTTCCCAGGCCATAGCAAAGAGCTGAATCGGAAATGGAGCAGTCAGGATTCAAACTGGCACCCATATGGGATGCCAGCACTGCAGGCAGTGGCTTTACCCACTATGCCACAGTGCCGGCCCCAAAGAGAGATCTTCCATCCACTGGTTCATTCCCCAAATGGCTGCAATGGTATGAACTGTGCCAGGCCGAAGCTGGGAGCTAGAAGCTTCTTCCAGGTCTCCCATGTGGGTGTAGGGGCCTAAGCACTTCAGCCATCTTCCGCTGCTTTCCCAGGCACATTAGCAATGGGCTGGATCAGAAGTGGAGCACTTGGGACTCGAACCAGTGCCACTATGGGATATCAGCTTTGCAGGCAGCAGTGTTTCAGGCAGCAGTGTTTCAGGCAGCAGTGTTTCAGGCAGCAGCTTTACCTGCTATGCCACAACATTTTGTTTTCCTACTATTTTTACTATTTTTCCTACTATTTTAGTATTTGCTACAAAGATTTTGTTTTCCTACTATTTTTTGGAATCTATTTTACTGTAAGTCTTGCTTTCATGGTGAATACACTAGGATATAATAATACAAGGAGTTTGAAATCAGGTATTGAAAAATAGACTTAAAAGATAAAAATACAAAATTTATTTCTCAACATAAGATCTTTCAGTTTTAAGCCACTTAAAAGCAGTGATACCAGCCCATTAGCTCATCCATAAATTTCAGTATCTTACTAGCTGAAGAAAAGTGGATGCCCTTTAAGATTTTTTTATGATTAAGAAACAAAAGTCTTTAGGGGCTAAATCAGAAATCCAAGGAGTATGCGTAATAAATTCTCATCCAAACTTGCAGAATGGCTGTTGTTTGGAGTAGTGATTGAGATGACTCTTGGGATGCTGGCATCCCATATTAGAGTGGCTCTGCTTCTGCTATTGCTGGCATTTAGGGAGCAAACCAATGAATGGGAGATCTCTATCTTTCTGTTTCAAATAAGTAAAATTTAAAATTTAAAGCCATAAAGCAGGTTTTCTGAATTTATGGCTGCACCACTTCTGATCTAGCTTTCTGTGATGGTCTGGGAAAGCAGTGGAAGATGGCCAAAGTCTTTGGGCCTCTGCACCCATATGGGAGACCTGGAAGAAGCTCCTGACTCCTGGCTTTGGATCAGCCCAGCTCAGGCTATTGTGGCCATTTGGGGAATGATTTAGCAGATGGAAGAATTTCTCTCTCTCTCTCTCTCCCCCTCTTTCTCTCTCTCTCTCTGCCTCTGCCTCTTCCTCTGTAACTCTGCCTTTCAAATAAATAAATAAGTCTTTTTTTAAAAGAATAAATCTAGTAGAAAGCATATCTTAAGGTTTTTGATTACACTACTTTCCCTTCTCTGAATTACATAGTCCAAATCAGTAGTAAAGCTTAAAAAAAAGAAAACAAGAAAAACAAATTCTTAGTCCCTTTCCCACACCATACCTCTGAGTATGGACCCAAGTACCTGGGTTTTTTTTTGTTTTGTTTTGTTTTGTTTTTTTGACAGGCAGAGTTAGACAGTGAGAGAGAAACAGAAAAGTTTTCCTTCCGTTGGTTTATCCCCCAGATGGCTGCTATGGCTGGCGCGTTGCGCCAATCCAAAGCCAGGAGCCAGGTGCTTCCTCCTGGTCTTCCATGCAGGTGCAGGGCCCAAGCACTTGGGCCATCCTCCACTGCCTTCCCGGGCCACAGCAGAGAGCTTGACTGGAAGAGGAGCAACCAGGACTAGTACCCGGTGCCGCAGGTGGAGGATTAGCCTAGTGAGCCACGGCGCCAGCCCAAGTACCTGTATTTTTTTTTTTTTTTTTTGTTATTCATGTATGACAGGCAGAGTGGACAGTGAGAGAGACAGAGAGAAAGGTCTTCCTTTGCCGTTGGTTCACCCTCCAATGGCTGCGGCTGGTGCACCGCGCTGATCCGATGGCAGGAGCCAGGAGCCAGGTGCTTTTCCTGGTCTCCCATGGGGTGCAGGGCCCAAGCACCTGGGCCATCCTCCACTGCACTCCCTGGCCACAGCAGAGGGCTGGCCTGGAAGAGGGGCAACCGGGACAGAATCCGGCGCCCCGACCGGGACTAGAACCCGGTGTGCCGGCGCCGCTAGGCGGAGGATTAGCCTAGTGAGCCGCGGCGCCGGCCAGTACCTGTATTTTTAAGAGTTCTTGGTTGCTTCTTAAGAGTAACTATTTAGAATACATCCTCTTTTTTTTTTTTTTTTTTAAGATTTATTATTTATTTTATTTGAAAGAGTTATAGAAAGAAGGAAACAGACACACACACACACACACACACACCCTATACACCCTACACACAGATCTTCCATTCTTTGGTTCACTCCCCCAAATGGCTGCTAAGGCTGGGCTAGGCCAAAGCCAGGAGATTCATCTGGGTCTCCCATGTGGGTGGCAGGGGCTCAATTCCTTGGGCTATCCTTAGCTTCTTTCCCAGGCACATATGGGATACTGGCATCACAGATGGTGGCTTAATCCACTACACCACAGGGCTATCCTAGGATTATAGAATTTTATAAGGCTCTTTGCTGATAAATTTTATCAAACTAAAATTTTTGTACCTCAAATGAAGTAATTTTGTAAATTATATAATTGCATTGTAAACTTTATGAATGTTATTTTAAAATTTTTATATTTTGATATTTCATCTAAAAATTACAAATTAGGGGCTAGCTTTGTGGTACAGCGAGTTAAGCCGCTGCCTGCAACACTCACATCCCTTATTTATGCTGATTTAAGTCTCAGCTGTTCAACTTTTGATCTAGCTCCCTGCTAATGCACCTGGGAAAGCAACAAAGGAGTACCCAAGTCCTTTGGCTCCTGTGCCCATATGGGAAACCCAGATGGAGTTCCAGGCTCCTGGCTTTGGCCTTGCCCAGCCCCAGCTATTAAGGCCATTTAGGTAGTGAACCAGTAGATGGAAGATCTCTCTAGGTCTCTCTCCTGTAACTCTGCCTCCCAAATACATAAATAAATAAACCTTTATAAAATTCAGGTTAAGCAAAGGTGTATGTTCTTGTTAACCCTTCTTTTTCTAGTAATTATTTTTTTCCTCTGTAATTTTATAACCTATTTTTATAGCTTTCTTAGAGTTAGAACACCAATTCATAATTCTTTGCCCTTTTCTTTTCTCCCCACAGAAATGGCAGGACATTATTAAAGAAGTCAAGTTTCTACAAAGAATAAAGCATCCCAACAGTATAGAATACAAAGGCTGCTATTTACGTGAACACACAGCATGGGTTGGTATCTGTTCTCTCTTTGTAATTTTGGTTGTAAGTTAAGAATGAACTAATTCAGAGTGTCTGCTTGTGTAGAAACATGTGAAAACACCTGAAATAATTGTTCATACTGAGACTGAAAGGGCAGCATTTCTAGAATTCTGCTGACCTCAATGTAAAATACCTTCCATGTGTTTTAATGCAAGGATTCAACATTGTGAAAATAGTTCCATTAGTTGAGGATGAAAGTTAACAGTTTTTTGATACAAATATATTATGTCCATTTTACCAAAATAATCTTGATGCAGTTTGGTCAAATCTTTATGAAATTTGAACTTATACTGATTTATTGATTGAATAATACTAAAGTTAGAGAATTGAGGCACTTTATTATAAGAAGTACAGATTAATTTTACCCTGTTGTTACCATTGATAGGACATGGTAGTATCTATAATGGTATATGTGTATAATAAGGTATATCTTGTAAGACAAAGATTAAATTTCTTTGAATAGGAATTAGCTCTTATTTTGAAAAATTAATAAGCACAACTGATTATCATTTTAATAAATGTAATTTAGTTTTAGGTTTTTAATTTTTTTTACATTTTAATGCAGTTTAATTTTGGTGATGGGGTGGTGGTGACACCTGTAAGTGAAGCTATGGTTTAAGAATAAGCAGTGACATTGGCTAGGTTACCACTCTGTCAAAGTTTCTCCATTTATGAAACAAGTGTAATACTAGACCTCCCTCAAGGTTGTTGCAAGGGTTAAATCGGTTAATATATTTAAAATACCTGGCACATAGATGGTACTTTGTGTTTGCTTTAAAGGAAACATTTAAGCTGTAACCAAGCCGTTGTATATGTAGTTCCAGAGAACAGTTTTCTGCCTCCTAACAATGATCAGTTTTGTTTTTACAGGCTAATCGTCATAGAATATGTTATTCCTTTCTAATTGTACTTGGTAATTATATATGGCATTATTAAAAGACTGAGGTATCAGTGGCTTAGTTTTATATATCCATTTACCATATTGCTGAATATTATTGATAAAATGTAAATGATGACTGGAGTTTGTTTTACCACAAACAATTTTCTTAACTTCTTGGTAAAATTTTGATCTCAAATAGAATCTTGTAAAAATGTATTTTAATGCTTTTATAACTTTTCTTTCCATGTAGCTTGTAATGGAATATTGTTTAGGATCTGCTTCAGATTTACTAGAAGGTAGGTTTCCTTCAATAATTATAAAAGTATTGGGGCAGGCATTTGATCTAGTGGTTAAGACGCCCTCAAATTAACTTGGATTGCCTGGATTTGATACCTATCTCTATCTCCTGACTTCAGCTTTTACAGGTTAGACCCTGAGAAGCAGTGGTGATGGCTCAAGTAACTGGCTTCCTGCCACCCACATGTGAGACTTGGCTTGAGTTCCCAGCTCTTGGCCTCCTCTCAGCCCAATCCTGACCTTTAAAGGCATTTGAAGAGTGAACCACTGGATGGGAGCTTTCTTTCTCTTTTCTGAGTCAGTCTCTCTCAGTCTGTCCCTCTCTCTCTCACACACACACACACTTAAAAATTAATTCCAATTAATTGTCGCTCCAATTAAAAAGAAATTTATTAATAGACTAATTCAGTTAGAAATTGTGTAATGTTTAATAACTGAATAGCATGAGATTTCTGGAAAAAAATCCTTAACCTTTTTCATATTCTCAGTATGTGTTATCCTTATTAAATATTAAATAGTAGCATAAAAGAGGCAGTTTGTCTGTCATCATGACTTTACATTTGTCAGGATTCTTTTTCATTCAATTTGGTCCTCTTTCTGTACAAGTTAAAGATAGATAAATGAGAATAAAGTAAAATGCCTGGGGTAGCCATATTTCCTAATGGTTGGGATGCTCACATCCCATATTGGAGTATGTGGGTTTGAGTCCCAGCTCCCTTTTGCCTTCCAGCTTCCTGCTAAGGTGGACTCTAGGTGGTGGCTTAAATCATTGGGTCTCTGCCACTCACATGGGAAACCTGGATTGAATTCCAGTTCCCAGCTTTGGCCTAGCCTAGCCCTCACTTTTGCACACATTTGGGGAGTGAACCAGTAAGTGGGAAATCTCTGTCTTATCTCTCTGTGTCTCCCCTTACCCCTAGTCACCGACGCTGCTGAAATATTTTTTTTTAAAAGAAAGAATTTCTTTGGTATTTTTGTTTTTATACTCACCAAGTAATTGTTCAATATTGTAAATTAAAAGGAAAATTGGCTGAGAATTATACTTTTTAACTGCTGGCACAACTATGTATTAATTAGAAAGTTCAATAATTTTATCATTTTGTTATAGAAATTTTTTCTTGCTAAATGTCAGCTTTTAAAATATACCCATATATTAGATAAGTATATTTAGAAAACAAAGATGTTCTATGTAATAATTATTTTTAAATACACTCTTATTTTAAGTTCACAAAAAGCCATTACAAGAAGTGGAAATAGCAGCAATTACACATGGTGCTCTACAGGGACTAGCCTATTTACATTCTCATACTATGATCCATAGGTAAGTGCTTTGAAAATCATTAAATATTGACAAGCAAATGGCTTGTTGTATCTGTCAAATCTAGAATTTATTAACCCTGAAATTTTTGTTGGATATAGTCAATTTGAATTATATAATCTTTTTTTATTTTTGGATTGTTAGTGTATTAAAACGAACATACTGATACTCTTTGTATCACTGTTTAAGATACTTTTTGACTTATATGTGCTGCTGGATCTTCTAAATATGTACACTTCATAGATTTGCCATAGAAATTTAATTGTAGAGTCAATTTGCAAACTGAAAGGGATGTAAGGAATCATGTAATCTTTTTTTTCTCATTTTACATTTGAACAAAATGATGCTCCAATTTCTTACTGTAATTTCCCAAAGTTTATGTAGAGAGCTAAAACTGAAATCTCTTTCATTGATTATTCCAATCATGGATAAATAAAAGCTACTTAAGACTATGCTTTTGAGCATTAATCCTTAGTAATCTTTGATGAAAAAAAAATAACTGAAGTTAACACATTTTATAGTGCATTTTTGTCACTGGTATTGGTTTTGGCTGTTTTAGAAGGAAACAGCATTTTAAAATTATATATATATAAATCAGGCAGTACATATTAAACTATATAACAGGGCCAATGTGAATTAATAGGCTGTCATTTCTTAGGTGATGATAATAAAGCCTAAGGGAAACATTTGTAGTAGTAAATAAATGGATCACAGGGTTTGGATTAGAACCTAGGGCTTTTTTAACTTCAGACTACCTCTTAATTAAAAAAAAAAAAAAAAAAAAAAAAAACTGGAAGGAAAATAGATTCACATAGTATTGTTTGTAGGACAATAATTTTTTGAAAGATTAGATTATTGTTATAATGCCTATTGGACATAGAGTCCCATTATAAAAATATTCTTCATTTTCTTAAGTTTGGAGAAAGTTAAGTTTCAAAGTAAATCTGATATCAGTAATATTGTATTATGTTTTAGTTTTGTTTCTTATTTAATTATAACTGTGCTAAAGTTTGGAAATGATATGAATAATCTCTTAAAAACCAACTTTGTAGGATAAGTTTCTGTTTTCTTTTTATGTTTTCTTTTTTATTTTAAATTAGATTCTCAGAAATCTTACACATTATGATATGGCTGTTACCTAATTGAGGTATATTTCAAAAGCCATGGTTTGTACCAATAAACAGAGGCTTAAATATAGATTATATACTGTAATCACCTTACTTTGTTTTTTTTTTTGTTTTTTGTTTTTTAGTGGTATTTGTCTCAGAAAATTGTTACTATACTAGTATTCTTACTTGGGTTCTGTATTTTTTTGTCTTCATCTCTTTACCACAATTATGGGATTCTCATTTAATTATTTTGATTTATCTTTCCCTGTTTTATGAATTCTTACCTGATTTTTATCATTTTAAACACAGTCTAATGAGAAAAAATAAATAATTTGCTGTGTTTCTTAATCCCAGAGATATCAAAGCAGGAAATATTCTTCTGACAGAACCAGGCCAAGTGAAACTTGCTGACTTTGGATCTGCATCCATGGCATCTCCTGCCAATTCTTTTGTGGGAACGCCTTATTGGTAAGAATATTCCTATCTGATGTTAATACTCCTGATTGAAATAGGTAAAGTATTTTTTTTTTCAGATGTCTTTTTTTCCCCTAAAAATACACTGCGGTTTTTAGACAGTTTTACTTTAAGCATTACATTTAGTTTTAACTATGGACTTGGAATGCTTCTGCATTTTATTTTTTCATGTTGTCCTTGCCACAGTTGCTTTCCTATTAGGATTTGCATCATAAATGGGGTGTGGGGATGAAAAAAATTGAAACAATCAAATAGGGGGAGAGATAGACATAATAAGTGGTAATTTGTGTGTGGATTTTTTTTTTTTAAGATTTATTTATGCCAGCGCGCGGCTCACTAGGCCAATCCTCTGCCTGTAGCGCCGGCACTCCGGGATCTAGTCCCGATTGGGGCACCGAATTCTGCCCTGGTCACTCCTCTTCCAGTCTAGCTATCTGCTGTGGCCCCGGAAGGCAGTGGAGGATGGCCCAAGTGCTTGGACCCTGCACCCACATGGGAGACTAGGAAGAAGTACCTGGCTCCTGGCTTCAGATTGGCATAGCTCTGGCCGTAGCGGCCATTTTTGGGGTTAACCAACGGAAAGGAAGACCTTTCTCTCTTTCTCTCTCTCTCACTGTCAAACTCTACCTGTCAAAAAAAATTTTTTTTATTTATTTTGGGGCTGGCACTGTGGTGCAGCAGGTTAATGCCCTGGCCTGAAGCGCAGGCATCCCATATGGGCACCGGTTCTAGTCCTGGCTGCTCCTCTTCTGATCCAGCTCTCTGCTATGGCCTGGGAAAGCAGTGCAAGATGGCCCAAGTCCTTGGGTCCCTGCACCCACATGGGAGACCCAGAAGAAGCTCCTAGCTCCTAGCTCCTGGCTTCGGATTGGCACAGCTCCGGCCGTTGCAGCCAACTGGGGAGTGAACCATCGGATGGAAGACCTCTTTCTCTCTCTCTCTCTCTCTCTGCCTCTCCTCTCTGTGTAACTCTGAATTTCAAATACATAAATAAATATTTTTTAAAAAAAGATTTTAAAAAAAGATTTATTTTTATTTGAAAGGCAGAGTTACAGAGAAGCAGAGGCAGAGAGAGAGCTAAATCTTCCAACTGCAGGTTCACACCCCAAATGGCCACAGTGGCTGGATATTTACTGTATCATTGATATTTAGACTAAGAATCCTTGAACACAGGGACTTGAGTTTCTCCTATTTTGTTTTGACTTTTTAGTGTCAGAAATACTGGTCATATGTACCCACCACTCAGCCCAACAATACCACATGGCCAGGACTACCCTATGTACTCTCTTTTCTTGCCTACCCCATTATTTTTAAACAGACCTAGACATTATCTAGTTTCATTCATAAATAATTAACTAGGGGTATGGCCATGTGGCATAGCAGGCAAAATTCCCACCTGTGATGCCAGCATCCCATGTGTGTGCCAGTTTGTGTCCCAGCTGCTCCACTTTCAACTCAGCTCCCTGCTAGTGGTCTGGGAAAAGGACAGAAGATGGTCTAAGGGTTTGGGTTCCTGCCACCCATGTGGGAGACCCAGATGATGCTCCTGGCTTCGGCATGGCCAAGGCCTTGCCATTTGCAATCATATGGGGAGTGAACCAATGGATGGAAGTTTTCTCTCTCTCTCTGTCTCTGTCTCTGTCCCTCTCTCTACGTAACTCTGATTTTCTAATAAATACATAAATCTTTTAAAAAATCAGGTATCTATCAGTAAAATTTGAAGGGAATACTTTTTCAGATCTTTAACTTCCCTATGGGTCCTCTTTATGTACAGAGTGTGATGTGATGTCTTAGATCAACTGCATATTCTTTCTCATCTACCTTTCAATCTTGCTTTGTTCTGCTTTATAAACGAAAGGCTTCCTATGTCGTGAATATTATGGTGACATATTGCTCTGTGACGTGAAAGCCTTAGAGGCAACCAGAGACATTTTGCCAATGTAATAACATCTTGGGGAAATTTTGAAGGATCAGGGCACAAACTGATGACAAGATCCTGTCCTTACTGTGGCAAAGTGTGTTAAGCCATGGCCTGCAGCACCAGCATCTCATCTGGTGCCAATTAGAGTCCTGGCTGTTCCGCTTCCAATCCAGCTCCCTGCTAACATGCCTAATAACAGCAAGGAAAGATGGCCCAAGTCCTTGGGCCCCTGCACCCACATGGCAGACCCAGATGGAATTCCAGATTCCTAGCTTCTGCCTGGCCCAGTCGTGGCCACTGGGGCCATTTAGGGAGTGAACCCTTGGATAGAAGATTGATCTCTGTCTCTCCCCACCCCATCTCTGCCTTTTGAATAAATAAATAAATAAATATGAGAGAGAGAGAGAGAGAGAGAGAGAGAGAGAGAGACTGAGAGACTCTGTCCCTTTCTATATATCTTCCTTCCCTTACTTTTACTCTTGCTTTTTCTCCCAATACCTTTCACCCCTCTCCCCTTTTTCTTCTATGTAGAATTCAAAACTGAAATGGTTTCCTGGAAACAAGTTAACATGTTTGTTTTCATTGAAATGTAAAGCCAGATTTTTTTTTCTGACCAAGTAATTTTCATCTGTTTGATTGATATTACCATGAAGACTGGCTCTGCTAATAAGGTTATAAAGCAGTGTGATTAGTAAATTGAATGAAGTCATGCAATTCCACATTTTAAATCTCGTTAAAATATGTGTACAATATACAGTATACGTGTATGCTGTACTTTTACATCTTTTGTAACTATTAAATTTATAAAATGTTGTTATCCAGAAATGTGCAAGGGAAGATATAATCTTTATAAATTTTAGGAGGTAAATGAATACAAATATTTGAAGAACATTGTTCTCGGCCGGCGCTGCGGCTCAGTAGGCTAATCCTCTGCCTTGCGGCGCTGGCACACCGGGTTCTAGTCCTGGTTGGGGCGCCGGATTCTGTCCCAGTTGCCCCTCTTCCAGGCCAGCTCTCTGCTGTGGCCCGGGAGTGCAGTGGAGGATGGCCCAAGTGCTTGGGCCCTGCACCCCATGGGAGACCAGGAGAAGCACCTGGCTCCTGCCATCAGATCAGCGCGGTGCGCCGACCGCAGCAGCCATTGGAGGGTGAACCAATGGCAAAGGAAGACCTTTCTCTCTGTCTCTCTCTCTCACTGTCCACTCTGTCCCCCCCCCCCCCCAAAAAAAGAGGAGCATCCAAGACTTGAACTGGCTCCTATATTGGATGCCAGCATTGCAGGTGGCCCTTTAACCTGCTAGGCGATAGCACTGGCCCCAAATGTCATACTCTTATTTGAGTTACTGAATGTTACCTCATAGGTTGGACCTTTAGCCTCGTGGTTAAGATAAAGGTTAAGATATTCATATCCCATATCTGAGTACTTAGGTTCAGTTCCTGGCTATGGCTGCTAATTACGGCATCCTGCCAGCACAGACCCTGGGAGAGCGTAATGATGTCTCAAGTAATTGAGTTTCTGCCACCCATATGGGAGACTTGGATTGAGCTTCCTGCTCCTGGCTATGACCCTGGCCCAGCTCCAGCCATTGTTGGCATTTGGGGAATGAATGAGCATATGGGAGCTCTCTCACACTTTGTCTATCTTTCTCTCTGTCTGTCTTTCAATATATAAAGGTTTTTAAAAATATATTTACTTCACAACCTCTGATGTACTTATTTCCCATTTTAAAACTTCTTATGTCCAAGTGTATTGACTGGAATTCAAACCATGTTCTCCAAGTTGATGGTTATTAATTTTTAAAGAATTATATACATTTTTAAACTTTAAATGTATATTTTATATTTTTAGGATGGCCCCAGAGGTAATTTTAGCCATGGATGAAGGGCAGTATGATGGCAAAGTAGATGTATGGTCTCTTGGAATAACATGTATTGAACTAGGTAAGTATTGTTCTTTACTATGGATTAAGTTTTGATGCATATTTTACCTCCATGTCTGTACCAAATTGTAGATTTTTATCTTATCTGTCAATACCTAAGAAGAATTAATGTATTAAAATTTTCATTTCCATTGTCTGGCAGTTTTTACATATATTAGATAGGTGTATTTGTTAATTAGAATAGCACACTTAGTGCCACTGGCTCTGTGGAGAAATGATTGATCTAGAATCTGGAGTAGGGAAGTACAAGATAAGCTTGAGACACATTAGTATGGCCAGAAAGCTAAGAAGTAAGCAAATAATAGGGCAATAATAATAATGGAGACAAATGAAGATCATGATAAATGATAAATTACAGCCTAATTACAATAAAAATCTGTGAATCCATAAAATAAAAACCATTTTAAAGTCTTCTAATAAATAAGATATTCATATAGATGCACAGTACTTTATCACAAAATGCTTATTAATGAAAAAGGAGAAACTTCAGCATGAAGATGATGAGCAAACATACTTTTTTTTTTTTTTTAATTTATTTGTTTATTTGAAACTCAAAGCTACAGAGAAACAGAAGAGAGACGATTCTTCCATCCACTGGTTTACTTCCCAAATGACTTCAGTCACTAGGGCTAGGCCAGGCTAAAGCCAGGAGCCAGAAGATTCATCTGGGATCTCCCACGCGAGCACCTCTTCTGCTGCTTTTCCAGGCCACCAACAAGGAGCTGGATCAGAAGTGGAGCAGGAGCCAATGCTGTGGCGTAGCAGGTAAAGCCACTGGCTGCTCCACTTCTGATCAAGCTCTCTGCTGTGGCCTGGGAAAGCAGTGGAAGATGGCCCAAATCCTTGGGTCCTTGCACCCGTGTGGAAGACACAGAAGAAACTCCTGGGTTCGGATTGGCACAGCTCTGGCCTTTGAGGCCAATTGGAGAGTGAACATCGGATGGAAGACCTCTCTCTCTTTTTCTCTCCTTCTCTCTTTTTGTAACTCTGTCTTTTAAATAAATAAATAAATTTTTAAAAAAAGAATTAGAGCAGCCAGGAGTTGAATTGTGCCCATATGGGATGTCAGCATAACAGGCATCTGCTACACTGCCCCAGACATCATCAGTAATGGGATCACTCAATGTCACGTTCAACCTGGTAGGCTGTAGTGAGCAAAATATAGCACTACTTTGGTGGAATTCTTGCCAAAGATATATAACCCGAATCCAGTCACAGGAAATAACAGACAAACTAAGGGTGTATTCAAGAGTTCTGTATATTTCAAAATTGTAAGAGTCATGATTTCAACTTTTACCTTAAGAAACTAGAGTAAGAGACTGGCACTGTGGCATAGCCCGTAAAGCCACTGCAGTGTCCACATCCCATGTGGGTGTCAGTTAGAGTCCCAGCTGCTTCACTTCCCATCCAACTTTTCTGTTTATGGCCTGGGAAAGCAGTAGAGGATGGTCCAAGTGCTTGGGCCCCTGCGCCCGTGTGGGCCAGAAGAAGCTCCTGGCTCCTGTCTTCAAATCAGCCCAGTTCCAGCTGTTGCAGCAATTGGGGGAGTGAACCAGCAGATGGAAGACTTTCTCTCTCTCTGTCTCTCTCTCTCCCTGACTCTCTCTGCCTCTCTGTAACTCTGCCTTTTAAATAAACAAATAAATCTTTTTTTATTTTTTTTTTTACAGATAGAGTTAGGCAGTGAGAGAGAGAGAGACAGAGAGAAGGGTCTTCCTTCCATTGGTTAACCCCAAAAATGGCCGCTACGGCCAGAGCTATGCCAATCTGAAGCCAGGAGCCAGGTGCTTCCTCCTGGTCTCCCATGTGGGTGCAGGGTCCCAAGCACTTGGGCCATCCTCCACTGCTTTCTGGGCCACAGCAGAGAGCTGGACTGGAAGAGGAGCAACCAGGACTAGAATCCGGTGCCCATATGGCTTGCCAGCGCCACAGGTGGAGGATTAACCAAGTGAGCCATGGTGCAAGCCCCACTAATAAATCTTAAAAAAGAGAGAGAGAGAGAGAAAGAAAGAAACTAGAAGAAGGGGCCAGCGCTGTGGCATAGTAGGCTAAGCTACCGCGTGTGGTGCTGGCATCCCATATGGACACCAGTTTGTGTCCTGGCTGTTCCACTTCTTATCCAGCTCCATACTAATGGCCTGGGAAAGCAGCGGAAGATGGCCCAAGTCCATGGGCCCCTGCATCCATGTGAGAGACCTGGATGAAGCTCCTGGCTCCTGGCTCTGGATCTGGATCTGCCCGGCTCCAGCTTTGTGATTTCTTGGATAGTGAAACAGCTGATGGAAGACCTCTCTCTCCATCTCTCCCTCCCTCCCTCTCTCTGTCTGTAACTCTGCCTCTCAAATAAATGATCTTTAAAAAAATTTTTTAAAAAGCAACTAGAATAAGCAGAAAATGGAAACCCAAAATAAACAGAAGAAATAGAATAATAAAGATCAAAACATGGGCCAACATTGTGGCATAGCCATTAAAGGTGCTACGTGTGACACCAACATCAAATATAGGCACCAGTTTGAGACCTGGCTGTTCTTCCTACCCAGCTCCCTCGTAATGTGTCTGGGAAAGCAGCGGAAGATGGCCTGAGTGTTTGGGATCCTACCACCCTTATGCAAGACCAGGAAGAAACTCCTGGCTCTTGGCTTCTGCCTGGCTTAGCCCTAACTGTTTCAGTGATTTGGGGAGTACAGCAATGGATGGAAGATCTCTGTCTCTCCCCCTCTCTCTTTAATTCTGGCTTTCAAATAAATAAATAAATATTTAATAAATAAATAAAAAATCAAAGCAGAAATCAGTTGCATAGGAAATTTAGTGAAATTTAATACTAATTTTTTGAGAGGATTAATTAAAGTGGTAAACTCCTAAACATATAGATCACCAAGAAAAAGAGATACAGGGGGCAGTGCTGTGGCATAGCAGGTAAAACCATTGCCTGCAGTGCCGGCATCCCATATGGGTACTGGTTCAAGTCCTGGCTGCTCCACTTTTGATCTAACTCTCTGCTATGGCCTGGGAAGGCAGTGGAAGATGGCCCAAGTCCTTGGGCCCCTGTACCCACATGGGAGTCCTGGAAGAAGCTCCTGGCTCCTGGCTTCAGATCGGCCCAGTGGATGGAAGATCTCTCTCTTTTCCCTCTCTCTGTCTCTGCCCCTCTGTAACTCTGCCTTTCAAATAAAAATAAATAAAGCTTTTAAAAAAAATCCACACACAAATTACCACTTACCATGTCTATCTCTTCCCCCTTTCAAATAAATAAATATTTTATAGAGGAAAGAAAAAGAGATAGAGATTTCCTTTATCAGGAATGAGAGGTAATAGTCAATATAGGTTTTACAGATATTAAGAAAATAATTTGGGAAATAAAATTTTTAAAAAGAAAAGAATAAAAAGAATAAAGAAGATAATAGAGAAATAACATTTGTCTGTCAGTTTCACAACTCAGATAAAATGGACAAGTTCCTAGAAGGATGCAAATGATCAAAGCTTTTGCTATACTATTGAGATGTTGGAATGAAGAATGGGGCTTGGAATTTATGTAATAGACATCTATCAGTATTAAATTAGTATAGTATCTTTCCTTAGGAAAGTGTTCTTGGTTATAGAAAATATGCACTCAAATATTTAGGGATAGTAGGCCATCAGTTCAAAAATTTATTTTCAGTTGATTCACTTGAGAAAGTTCTTGAGCTCTACTTAAAGGTCTTTTGATTTCTGTTTTTTTTTTTTTTTTTAATTGTTGTTAAGATTGGTTCAAAATGAGAAATACTTTAAAAACAACTTATTTGCCTGGTGTGATTTTGTCCTGTGTGGCTGTTCTTTGCAACAGCAATGTTTATCTCTATCTACTACTCCCCATGAAAGATTCGATGGATAAGGACATAAATCCCCTGAGCTCCAGAACTATTTTTGGTTGTAAACTAGAGGTTGACAAAGATTATCACTTTAAAGTGGACAGTGATGAAAATGAGCACCAGTTATCTTTAAGAATGGTTGGAGTAGGCACTGGTTCAAAGGATGAATTGCTCATTGTTGAAGCTGAGGCAGTGAATTATGAATGAAGGCAGTTCAGTTAAATTAACACTGGCAACTTTGACAACAACAATTTCCCTTGGGGGTTTAGAAATAATACCACCTGTGATTTTAAGTTTAAAATACGGTTCTAGGCCTATGTATATTGGTGTACAGCATTTAGTAGCTGTGGAGTAAGGTGCAGAATCAAAAGATGAAGAGAAAGAGAATGAAATTATTAATTATATCTGGAAAGCCATCTTCTGGAGGTGGCAGCAGAGTACCACAGAAAAGTGTAAAGCTTGCTACTGTGAAGGTGATGAGGAAGAGGAAATTGAAGAAAAAATCCAGTGAAGAAATCTATACAAGATACCCCAGCCAAGAATACAGAAAAATGAAGCCAGAATAGTAAATACTCAAAACAAAAAAATCAAATTAAGATCAAAAAGTCAAGAGTCCTTCAAAAAATAGGAAAAAACTTCTAAAAATGAGCTAGTTCTGTAGAGGACATTAAAATGAAAATATAAGCAAATATAGAAAAAGGTAGTTATCTCCCAAAGTGGGAGCCAAATTCACCAGTTTCTTTGTGTGTGTGAAGAATTGCTTCCTGATGACTGAACAGGCTATTCAAGATCATTGGCAGTGGAGGAAATCTTTTTAAGAACGTAGTTTAAGGGGCTGGTACTGTGCTGTAGAGGGTTGTACTGCCACCTGCAGTGTCAGCATCCCAAATATGGTAGTCCTGGCTGCTCCACTTCCAATCCAGTTTCCTGTTGATGGCCTCAGAAAGCGTAGAGGATAATCCAAGTGCTTGGGGCCCTGCACCCATGTGGAAGACCAAGAAGAGACTCCTGGCTCTTGGCTCCGTTGGCCTCACTCAGCCCTAGCCATTGCAGCCATCTGGGGAGTGAACCAGCAGATGGAAGATGGAAGTTATCTCTCTCTGTAACTCTGCCTTTCAAATAAGTAAATAAATAACTCTTAAAAAGAGAGAGAAAGAATAGTTTAAACAGTTTGTTGAAATTTTCCATCTTATTTCATTCTGTAACAGCTGATATCTGGTTGTCCTTTTTATAATGCAGGGTAAGAACTTTACCTGCCATGATTGATAAATGTTGTCCAGGTTCCATTGCCAAGAATGTGTTGTCCAAAATGCCGGTTTAAGTTGTAAAGATGGAACTCTGCCCTTTGTTGGTTTTGAACATTTATGGAATGTAATGATAAGACACATTACTAGTGGTAGTCAGACATAAAAATTGTGGGTAGACAAAAATACACATTGGAAATAAACTCCGTATTTTAATAAAGTGGAAAAAATCATAGAAGTAGCATAGTTAAGTGCCTTTCCATAACAAGCACACGTTTTAATAGGAAAGTTTTATTTCTTTTACAGCGGAAAGAAAGCCTCCTTTATTTAATATGAATGCAATGAGTGCCTTATATCACATAGCCCAAAATGAATCCCCTACACTACAATCTAATGAATGGTGAGTATTGCTGAGAGATATATTGCTCAGTATTATATACATGAAATACTTTTTATAATCTGGTATCAAAATCATTTAATTTAAATTATGTAAAATGTATTAGCTGAAAACACATTAAAACAGGTTTATTTTCTCTTGTCAAGTCTGTATTTCATACTATATAGGAGTATATCATTCAGTTCAGAAAAAAATGGTAAATGATGTCATGGATGCAAAAAGTAGATTTTTACAAAAATTACCTTTCCTTTGAATTTTATGAGCATGTGTAACCCTAATAATAATAACAGCATTTATAAGTTTTTAAATTTATCTTATTTATTTAAAAGACAAATCTAGCGTCCACTGGTTCATTACCCAAATGCCTACAACAGCCAAGGCTGGGCCAGGATGAATCTAGGAGCTAGGAACTCCATGTAGGTCTCCCATATGGGTGGCAAGAACCCAACTATTTGAGCCATTACCTGCTACCTCTTAGGGTATACTTTACCAGAAAGCTAGAATTGGGAGCAGAGCCAGGAATTGAACCTAGGCACTCTGATTTGGGATGTGAGTATCCCAAGTAGTGTAATTGCTATGCCATGAATAATATTTTCTAATCATTAATATTTTATAACTAAAATATATATGTTGTCACAAAATATAGTGATCATTCCTTGGGAATGGTTTATAGTTTATATGTATAAAACATGAGTAAAATGATTTGACTTTATCATCATTGCCAGGTAATTAAAAACTTTTTGGGTATTGGTGCTATGGCATAATAGGCTAAGCCTCTGCCTGTGACACCAGCATCCCATATGAGTGCCAGTTTATGGCCCGGCTGCTCCTCTTCTGATCCAACTCTGCCTATGGCCTGGGAAAGCAGTAGAGGATGGCCCGAGTGCTTGGGCCCCTGCACCCACATGGGAGACCGAAGAAGCTCCTGGCTCCTGGCTCCTGGCTCCTGGCTTCAGATCAGCCCAGCTCTGCTGTTGCAGTCATCTGAAGAGTGAACCAGTGGATAGGCCTTTCTCTCTGTCTCTCCCTCTCTCTGTCTGTAACTCTACTTCTCAAATAAATAAATAAAGTCTTTTTAAAAAAGAGAATTTTGGGATCATTTTAATTCTGATTATAAGAGTTATTATCCTTATTGCTCTGATATCTCTTCTGTTCATTCATGCAAACTAATTTATGGAGAACAGACTGACAGTTTTAGGAAGTTAGGATTCTTATTATTAGGTAAAAAATTTTATTATAAAATTAATTCCTCAGATGTACCTAGCATTTGAAAATTTCTAGGGGAATATCTAGCATATTTATTAAATACTTTAAAATTTAAAAATATGAAGAGGCTTCCAGAAGTTCGGAGAGAACTGAAAAGATAATGCAAATTTTTAAAAAAGATTTATTTATTTATTTGAAAGGCAAAGATAAAGGGAGAAAATGGGGGGGGGGGGCAGATATGGATCTTCCATCTTATTTACTGGCCAAATGGCTGTAACAGCTGGAGCTGGGCCACTTGGAAGCCAGAAGGATATAATCTGTTTTATTCCAAGATGATGTCTTAGATACTGTGTCCTCTGGAGGGGAGGAATTTTTTATTGTGCCCTCATGACCTAAACACCTCCCAGTACTGGTTGGGTTGGGGACTAAGTTTCACCAAGGATTCCAGACGACAAAAATCACTCAACTGTAACTTGGTACATCTAGATAATAAATGTGTTGAAATAAATGTGGAGTGAACTAGCAAATGAATGAGGCTCTGTGTCTAGTTCTCTTTACCTCTCAAAAAAAAAAAAAAGAGTTGTAACATTTAAATATGTGGGAGTGTGAGTTTTAACTAATCTGTTGAAGCTTATTTTTAGAAAATGATAAACGTTCACTTACTGCTTTAGATGGCTTTTTATAGACTTCCATAAAAATCTTTGATCTTCGCTCCTAGTACTCCCTTGATTTGTGGATGTATTTTTAAAGGAAATAGCAATATGTTCACTTGATACTTTCCTTTACAATAGGTCTGATTATTTTCGCAACTTTGTAGATTCTTGCCTCCAGAAAATCCCTCAAGATCGTCCTACATCAGAGGAACTTTTAAAGGTCAGTTCTATTTTTCTTTGAAAAGTGATTAACTGCTTCTACCATATCTAGGTAGAATATGTGGTTAAATATTTAAAGTAGTACTAAACAGCGAAATATTTATATGTGCATGCAAGAATATATTCATGAGTTACCAATTTTTAATTCAAATGGAACAGTATCTTTCATAGTTGGTAAAACAGATTAGCATTGAATTTAATTTTTGTTTATTTAGAAAATATTTATTTATTTATTTATTTATAAGATTCTTTTTTATTTGAAAGGCATAGTTACAGAAAGGCAGAGGTAGAGAGAGAGAAAGAAGTCTTCTATCCATTGGTTCATTCCCCAAATGGCTGCAACAGCTGGGCTGATCTGAAGACAATAACCAGGAGCTTCTTTCGGATCTCCCATGTGCGTATAGGGGCCCAAGACTGGGCCACCTTCCAATGCTTTCCCAGGCCATAGCAGAGAGCTGGATCGGAAGTGGAGCAGCTGGGACTGCAGCTGGTGCCCATGTGAGATGCCAGCACTGCAGGCGGCAGCTTTACTTGTGCCAAGTGCAGGCTGAAAAAAATATTTACTTTCTTTCTCATTTGAAAGGCAGAGTGGGCCGGCGCCGCAGCTCACTAGGCTAATCCTCCGCCTTGCGGCGCCAGCACACCGGGTTCTAGTCCCGGTCGGGGCTCCGGATTCTGTCCCAGTTGCCCCTCTTCCAGGCCAGCTCTCTGCTGTGGCCAAGGCCAGGGAGTACAGTGGAGGATGGCCCAAGTGCTTGGGCCCTGCACCCCATGGGAGACCAGGATAAGTACCTGGCTCCTGCCATCGGATCAGCATGGTGCTCCGGCCGCAGCGTGCCGGTCGCGGTGGCCATTGGAGGGTGAACCAACGGCAAAGGAAGACCTTTCTCTCTGTCTCTCTCTCTCTCTCTCTCACTGTCCACTCTGCCTGTCAAAAAAAAAAAAAAAAAAAAGGCAGAGTGACAGGGAGAGACTGGGGTTGGGGGAGGAGAAAGAGATCTTCTATCTGCTGATGTTCGTTCCTCAAATGGCTGCAACAGCCAGGTCTGGATTAGACCAATGCCAGGAGTTAGGAACTCCAACCAGGTTTCCCACATGGGTGGCAGGGGCTCAAGCACTTGGGCCATCTTCCTGTGCTTTCCTGGGTGCATAAGCAGGAAGCTGGATTGAAACTAGACTAGCTAGGGCACATACTGGCACTATGACATGGGTTGCTGGTGTCACAGGCAGTGACTTAACCCTCTGTACATTACAACACTGGTCCCTGGATTTAATTTCATATCTGCCACACTTTATTGATCTGTCCAATATTAATATAATATGAAACCAATATAAATTATGTGATATATTTACATAAATATGTAAAAGAAAAGAAAGTATTGAAAGTGGATGTAATACTTTTGTTTCCTTTTTTGTAAATATGCTTTTCCAACTTAGCTTAGAAAATATTTTTAAAATTCTGTAAATTCTATTCAATTTTCAGCAGGCTTGGTTGTCTAATTTAAATACATAATTTCCACAAAAATTATTTCATTTGAATGTTGAACTTCTTAAGAATAGTAGTGTTGTGTTTATTGTAGTTCTTTTTTTTTTTTTTTTCTTTTTGACAGAGTTATAGACATTGAGAGAGAGAGATAGAGAGAAAGGTCTTCCTTCCGTTGGTTTACCCCCCAAATGGCTGCTACAGCTGGCGCGCTGCGCCAATCCGAAGCCAGGAGCCAGGTACTTCCTCCTGGTCTCCCATGGGGGTGCAGGGCCCAAGCACTTGGGCCATCCTCCACTGCCTTCCTGTGCCACAGCAGAGAGCTGGACTGGAAGAGGAGCAACCGGGACAGAATCTGGGGCCCGAACCGGGACTAGAACCCAGGATGCCAGTGCCGCAGGCTGAGGATTGGCCTAGTGAGCCATGGAGCCGGCCAATTATAGTTCTTATAACATCTAGATTAGATGTTAATTAGTTGGATTTTATTCTTTTTGTTACTCTAGGGAATCTCTTTGATTTTTTCATTGTAAGATTTAAGTAGACTATTTCTATACTAATATTTTAGAACTTTTAAAAAGTTTAACTTACCTTTATTTACACACATTAATTAAATCATGGCTAGAAAAATCTGATGGAAGCATTCATTTATGTGTTATTATTGAATATATATATATTTGGTAATACCACTTAGAAGCACAGTAAGTAAAAGAATAACATAAAAGTTAGTTATGCTTGGGGAATTCTAGGCAGAAAAGTCAGTCTCAAAAATGAGGGCCTGAGTAAATATACACTCACAGTAGCAACAGAAGTTTTAATATAGCTAAAGATTATGTTAGTAAATAATAAATGAGACCTATATGTAAAAAACTATCAAACTTAGAAATATAAGAAAACTAAATATTTTTTAAATTAAGGCAAAATGACTATACACTTATACACTAAGACAAAAGGCAAAATGTGACTGGCTTTTTACATTTGCCCATTACAGACAAAAAACTTAAAACTCTTAAAGTAATAATCTAGCCCAACAAGGTCAGTTATTTGGTGATTAGATCCTGAGTCTTTATATAGTAACCATTTGCCTAAACTACAGTGTATATTTTTTGCAGTCTTGTTTGAAATGTTAGGAAGTATCTTATCAAGAACTCATTTTGCCTAATTACATTTCTATCACAGTCCATCATAATGAAAAAAATTAATATTAAACAATTTTAATATATGAAGTTCCTTATCAGAATTAAATATTGGAGATATCCATCCAGAATTATGTTGACAGCTAAATAATTTTGGCACAGGCATTTAGTGAAATATCGTAGAGGTATTATGTTGATGAGTTTGAAATAGCAACACTGATTACAGTGGAAATAGATTAAAATATTGTATAGTGACAACTCTTTCTTTAAAAAAATTGTTTTTAATTTATTTGAAAGGCAGAGTTACAGAGAAAGAGAGAGAGATATCCTCCATCTGCTGGTTCACTCCCCAAATTGCTGCGATGGCCAGGGCTGGGCCATGCTGAAGCCAGGAACCTGGAACTTCATCTTGGTCTCTCATGTAGATGTAGGGGCCCAAGGACTTGGGTCATCTTTTGCTACTTCCCCAGGCTCGTTAGCAGGAATCTGTATTAGAAGTGTAGCAGCCAGGACTCAAAAGCAGTGGACATATAGGATACTGGCTTAACTCAGCCCCTATTGAAAACTTTCTGCATAGAGAAGAAATAAATTTGAACTAACAGAAGTTAAGAATTCAAGGATATTTCATGAAACTTAAGTGAGGGCAGATGTCTTTCTGTAATTTCTAGGGTAATTCAATGTAACAATGATAACTCTAAAGGTCTGGCATTGTGGTACATACAGTGAGTTAAGCCGTCACTTGCAAGCCAGCATCCCTTATTGGAGTACTTATTCAAGTCTTGGTTGTTCTGCTTCTAACCTAGTTCTCTGCAAATACACCTGGGAAAGAAGTGGATGATGGCCCAATGTGGCACAGCCAGTTAAACCTATTTCCTACAATATCCCATGGGAGCACCAGCTTGAATTCTAGCTCCTCCACTTCCAATCCTTGCTTCGGCATGGCCTAGCTCTGGCTGTTTTGGCCATTTGGGGAGTGAGCCAGCTGATAGAAGATCTCTCTTCTTCTGTCTTTCCTCTCTCTCTCTGTGTGTGACTCTGCCTTTCAAATAAATAAATCTTTAAAAAAAAAAAAAGATTTTATGAAATTTGTGGAAGAAAGGGTTTTGTGCAGCAATTAAAGACCATGCTTACAATGTTCACATCACATATTGGTGTGCTTCAGTTCATGTGCAGCTTTGCCCCTGATTCTAGCTTCCTGCTAATGCACACCCTGGAAGGCAGCAAGTGATGGCTCAAGTTTGGATCCCTACCACCCATGTGGGAAACTTGGATTAAGTTCTGAGCTCCTGGCTTCAGCCTGGCCTGGCTCTGGCTGTTGCATGCATTTGGGGAGTGAACAAGCAGATGGAAGATCTCAATCTGCACCCACGTGGGAGACCTGGAAGAAGCTCCTGCCTGCTGGCTTCAGATCAGCCCAGCTCTGGCTGCTGTGGCCATCTGGGGAGTGAACCAATAGATGGAAGACCTTTCTTTTCTGTTTCTCCCTCTCTGTCTGTAACTCTACATCTCAAGTAAATAAATAAAAAATCTAAAAAAAATTTAATGACGATCAGAAATACAATTAATATAATACATTTATACAATTATATAGTAAATATCAGAAGTATAATATAGTTAGGCTGGCGCCGGGCTCACTGAGCTAATCCTCTGCCTGCAGCACTGGCATCCCGGGTTCTAGTCCCTGTTGGGGTGCCGGTTCTGTCTCGGTTGCTCCTCTTCCAGTCCAGCTCTCTGCTGTGGCCCGGGAAGGCAGTGGAGGATGGCCCAAGTGCTTGGGCCCTGCACCCACATGGGAGACCAGGAGGAAGCACCTGGCTCCTGGCTTCAGATCAGTGCAGTGCGCTGACCGTAGCAGCCATTTAGGGGGTGAACCAACGGAAGGAAGACCTTTCTCTCTGTCTCTCTCTCTCACTGTCTAACTCTGCCTGTCAAAAAAAAAAAAAAGTATAATATACTTAGATAGCTGTATGTTATAGGCATTATTCATTATAGGATTGTAACTCTAGGTTCTGACCAAGGATACATTTGTAGTAATTAAGAAAAAAAGTTCCATGGGGCTGATGTTATGGCATAGCAGGTTAAAGCTACCACCTGCAATTCTGGCTTCACATAGGAGTGCATATTTGAGTCTTGACTGCTCTACTTCTTTTTTTTTTTTTCTTAAGGATTTATTTATTCAGGGGCTAACATGTGGTGCAGCAGTTTAACACCCTGGCTAGAAACACCAGCATTCCATATGGGTGCCGGTTTGAGACCTGGCTGCTCTGCTTTTGATCCAGCTCTCTGCTATGGCCTGGGAAAGCAGTGGAGGATGGCCCAAGTCCTTGAGCCCCTGCACCCATGTGGGAGACCCAGTAGAAGTTCCTGGCTCTTGGTTTTGGATTGGCGCAGCTTCGGTCGTTGCGGCCAATTGAGGAGTGAACCATTGGATAGAAGACCTCTCTCTCTCTCTGCCTCTCCCCTCTGTGTAACTTTGACTTTCAAATAAGTAAATAAATCTTTAAAAAAAAAAAAAAAACCTATTGGAAACAGAAAAGCCAAAGAGAACATATCTTCATTAAAAAAATTTATTTATTTATTTGAATGTCAGAGTTACACAGAGAGAGGAGGAGAGACAGAGAGAGGTCTTCTATCTGCTGGTTCACTCCCCAATTTGTCACAACGGCCAGAGCTGTGCCGATCCGAAACTAGGAGCCAGGAGCTTCTTCTGGGTCTCCCACATGGGTGCAGGGGCCCAAGGACTTGAACCATCTTCTTTTGCTTTCTCAGGCCATAGCCGAAAGCGGGATCAGAAATGGAGCAGCTGGGTCTCGAACCAGCGCCCTTATGGGATGCTGGCACTACAGGTGGCGTTTTAACCCACTATGCCACAGTGCCAGCTCCAACCGCTCTACTTCTGATCCAGCTTCCTACAGATGTGCCTGGAAGAGCAGCAGGAGATGGCCCAAGTACTTAGGCCCTTCCCACCCATGTGAGGAGACCTGTAAGGAGTTCCAGGCTCCTGGATTTGTCCTCTCACAGCTCCTGCCATTGTTGCCATTTAGGGAGTGAACCAGCAAGTAGAAGATCTCTCTCTGTTTATCTCAAACTGTGCCTTTTGAATAAATGCAAAGTAAATCTTTTCAAAAAGCAAAAAAGAAAAGCAGAGTGAGAGAGAGACACTCAAATGGCCACAATAGTCAGGGTTGTGCTGGGCGGAAGCCTGGAGCCCAGAGCTTCATCTGTTTCTTACATGTGGTTGTAGGGACCAAAGCACTTGGGCCATCTTCCACTGCTTTTCCAGGCACGTTAACAAGGAGCTGGATTGGAAGAGGAGCATCTGGATCTCTAACCAGCACCAATATGGGATGTTGCAGGTGGTGACCTAACCTGCTGTGCCGACCTTCTAACTCTGCCTTTCAAATAAATCAGTCTTTAAAAACGAAAAAGAAGTTCCAACCTGACCTTTACCTTTTGCCCTCTTCAGCACATGTTTGTTCTTCGGGAGCGCCCTGAAACAGTGTTAATAGATCTCATTCAAAGGACAAAGGATGCAGTAAGAGAACTGGACAATCTTCAGTATCGAAAGATGAAGAAACTCCTTTTCCAGGAGGCACATAATGGACCAGCAGTAGAAGCACAGGAAGAAGAAGAGGTAGTACCTTAAAAAAGACTAAAATATTGAATTCTTTTTATTGTTCTTTCCTTAAGTAACTTGCCCTTCCATGAATTTGCCTTTTGCATCATCAGTGTGTGTATTTTCTCTCTCTTTTTTTTTTTTTTTTTTTTTTTTTGACAGGCAGAGTAGACAGAGAGAGAGAGAAAGAAAGTTCTTCCTTCCGTTGGTTCACCCCACAAATGGCCGCTATGGCCAGCGCTGTGCCGATCCAAAGCCAGGAGCCAGGTGCTTCTTCCTGGTCTCCCATGTGGGTGCAGGGCCCAAGCACTTGGGCCGTCCTCCACTGTACTCCCTGGCCACAGCAGAGAGTTGGACTAGAAGAGGAGCAACCAGGTCAGAATCCAGCACCCCAACCAGGACTAGAACCCAGGGTGCTGGCGCCACAGGCGGAGGATTAGCCTAGTGAGCTGCGGGGCTGGCCCCAAGTGTATTTTCTTTAATACTGGTCCTACAAGATCCCTGTCTTTATGTTAGATCACAAGCTCTAAAACCTAACCCCTTTTTGATGCATACTCTCATAGTAAGTGTACTGAGAAGGCTTTTTTTTTTTTTAAAGAAACATATTCAGCTATTTAATCTGATCCTTATCAAATTTATTGGCCACAGAGCCCTTTTTGATTAAATTATCTAGTTCCTTACAACATGTTTTTCGAAGTTCTTGAAATTACTGACTCTGAAAGGTGACTTTACTCAAAGAGAAGTTGTTAGAAACTTACACATACTCTAATGTGTCATCAAGACTACTTGATTCCTTTTAGTTCTACATAATTTAATTCCATCTATACTATTATAAAATGTTCATTTTACAGATGAAGGAAGCAGCCTTCAGAGTGTTTAATTAGTTGTCAGCAGACACACATGAATTCAAATTTATCTTTCTGGTTCTGCAGGCTAACTTTTATGTTGCCTTTTAAGTAGAGTAGAAATACAGATTTATAAAAAAATTATAGAATTTCCTTACAAGGAAATATGCAAATAAAGTTTACTAAATGGGAAATTATCTTTTATTTTCCTAATAGTTTGTTTTCTTTGTGCCATCAGAGTTCTACATCTTTGAGTTTTTTGGTTGCTTTCTAGTAAGACATCACTTTGTATTCTGAAACAGTACACAATAGTTACTTTACTTTTCAATAGCATTAAATAATTAATGAAGTATAAAATATAAAACTGTTAACAGTTTTTATTTTTAGTAATTGACAAAAAATTAGAATTTTTCATGTCTGAAATAAGTGATAAAGTTATAGTATTAAAATTCTCTGTGATTGAATTTTTAACGATTTATTTATTTATTTGAAAGAATTACACAGAGGCCAGTGCCGTGGCTCACTAGGCTAATCCTCTGCCTGTGGCGCCGGTACTCCAGGTTTTAGTCCCGTTTGGGGCACCGGTTCTGTCTCGGTTGCTCCTCTTCCAGTCCAGCTCTCTGCTGTGGCCTGGGAAGGCAATGGTGGATGGCCCAAGTGCTTGGGCCCTGCACCCACATGGGAGACCAGGAGGAAGTACCTGGCTCCTGGCTTCGGATGGGTGCGGCGCACCGGCTACAGTGGCCATTGGAGGGTGAACCAACGGCAAAGGAAGACCTTTCTCTCTCTCTCTCTCTCTCTCTCTCTCTCTCTCTCTAACTCTGCCTGTCAAAAAATAAATAAATAAATACATATTTTTTAAAAAAATTAAAAAAAAAAAAAAAGAGTTACACAGAGAGAGAAGGAGAGGCAGAGAGAGAGGTCTTCCCTCCACTGATTCACTCCCCAGTTGGCCACAACATCCAGAGCTGTGCTAATCAGGAACCAGGAGCTTCGTCTAGGTCTCCCACATGGGTGCAGGGGCCTAAGCCCAAGGACTTGGGCCATCTTCTACTGTTTTCTCAGGCTATAGCAGAAAGCTGGATCAGAAGTGGAGCAGCCAGGACTCAAACCAGCGCGCATATGGAATGCCAGCACTGCAGGTGGTGGCTTTACCCACTATGCCACCATTCTGGCCCCTGTGATTAAATTTTTAACAAGTCTCTGTTAGGCTATGGGTATAAGAAAAATAAAAAGTCTCTTTAAAGTCCCTTTATACATATACCACATGTCTGTATTTATTATAAATTCTGTGTATATTACTGATTTCTGGTATGGTAAGAGTATTAGAATATTGGTGCCCAGAAATCATGGCTACTTGGTTACTTCAGGAAATTGTTACTTTAAAAAAAAATATTAATTTATTTGAAAGTCAGAGTTACAGAGAAAGGAGGAGAGATTTCTGTCTACTGTTTCACTCCTCACATGGCTTCACCTGCTGGGGTTGGACCAGGCTGAAACCAGGAGCTTGGAACTCCTTCCATTTCTTCTGCATCAGTGGCTGGGACCCAGGTACTTGGGTTGTCTTTCACTGCTTTCCCAGGCACATCAGCAGGGAGCTGAATCAGAAGCCGAATAGCTGGGACTTGAACCAGCACTGATATGAGATGCAGATATCCCAGGTGACAGCTTAGCCCCTGTGCTACAACACTGGCTCCTGGTAACTTGTTCTTGTGATTGTGTTTGAATATTACATAGATATGTAATATGTAATTCTTAGTTTATGATAGATATGAATTAAAATTAAATTATTTGGTGGTAGAAAGGTAATCTAAAGACTATTTTCAGAAAAAAAGGAAGAATCTACTAAAGAAAGGCTTTGTAAAAATGTAATAGCATTTATAGCTTTTTTTCTAAAGGAGGAATTTGTGTTAACTGAGAATCATTAAGCCATAGCAGAATCTATATAGCCAATGGGATGTGTTGTGGATACTATACTTTGGAAATCATCCAAAACTGATCAACTGACTTTAAACAGTTGGATGAACTTATTTGTTATTTACTTGTTGATCGTTTTTATTTGTTATCAATCAACTAACAGTTGCTAAACTTCCTGATCTTGAGAAAAATATTTCTCACAACAGATCTCAAATTTTCTTTTAATGATTGTGTGCCATGTAGTGTGCTAGTTGTTTATACAAACAAGAATGCAGAAGAGATACAGATGATTGAACCCTATTCTCTTTTTCTGTTAGGAACAAGATCATGGTGTTGGCCGGACAGGAACAGTGAATAGTGTTGGAAGTAATCAGTCTATTCCTAGTATGTCCATCAGTGCCAGCAGCCAAAGCAGTAGTGTTAACAGTCTTCCAGATGCCTCAGATGACAAGAGTGAGCTAGACATGATGGAAGGAGACCACACAGTGATGTCTAACAGTTCTGTCATCCATTTAAAACCTGTGAGTATTTTGATTTTGGTGAAAAGATTTCAATTTTGATTAACAAATTTTTTGTCTGGTTATTCTAAGAGAAAGAGGTTGTCTTTTTACTTTGAAGTTTCAGAATTTTGGAACTTATTTTATCATTAAAGATTTCTTTATCTGAAAGAGTTACAGAGCAAGAAAGAGAGACAGACACAGACAGACAGAAATAGTCCACCATTGGTTCACTACCCAGATAGTTGCAAAGGCCTGGACTAGGCCAGGCTTAAACGAGAATCCAGGAGCTTCATCCGGGTTTCCTATGTGGGTGGCAGGGGCCCAAAACATTTGGATTATCTTCCTCTGCTTTTCCCAGGCCATTAGCAGGGAGCTGAATCAGAAGTGGAACATCCAAGATTCAAACTGGTGCCCATATTTTATACTATTGTTCTAGGCTGTGACTTTACCCCCTGCCTCACAATGCTAGCCTCAAGAAGTTTGGAGCATTTTGAAAAAATTATCTACATTTGGAAAACTAAGATTTTGAGGATACAAAAAGAATGTGGAGCTGTCTTAAAATCTTAGAAGATGAAATACAGCAATATTGTGTTGTATAATATTTGAATGTGGAAAATAAGATATTAAAAATAAGATTGTTAACATGTGAAATTCATAGTAATGGTATCTTTTGAGGAGTGGGAAAAAGAGTTGAGATGGTTGATGATGAAAAGTGACTTTTGCATTATCCATAATATTTACATTTTTAATATAAAATAAAGTGTAACTGGAAAATGACAAATTGTGGTCTTAGGAAATGTAAGTGCTTGCTATATTTGCAGTTTTGAGTGAGAAATTTTAAGTTTTCTCAAAAATACTAGAAAGTTGGGTAACTCTTAGATTCCTTTTTGAACTTCACAGCTTTCAGTATTATCTAAAAAGTTTTTAGACACAGTAGCTAAAAGTGGAAATAATGCAGATGTCATATACATATAAATAAGCAAATTTTGACATATGTGTCCGATGGATTATTACTCAGCTATAAAAAAGAATGAAGTTCTGTTACTTGTTGTGATATGGATGAATCTCAGAAATATGCTAAGTAGTATAAACCAGACACAAAAGGACATAGTATATAATAAACATTTAACTTGTCTGGAATAGACAAATTCATAGAAATAGAAAGCAATTTACTGATTACCAGCGGTTGTGTGAAGACTGAGATAGAGAATTATTGCTAATGGATAAAGTTTTTATTTGGGGTAATGACAGGCTTTAGAAATAGAGCTCATGGTTGTGTAGCACTGAGAATCTAATTACCACCACTTAAAATGGCAGATCTCTTGTTTTACTACGCGCGCGCGCACACACACACACACACACACACACAGACATACATACATACATATACATATGTGCTCAAAAGCTATTAGGAATGATTTGGTTAAGTGATACTGTTATTTAGGGCAAAGCCATGTTTAGTTTGTATATTCTTAGCCAATAGAATCAATCATAAAACAAAGTTGTTTCCACAATTAGTTCATTGCTGCTTAGCTGACTTCATCTTCATGTAAGGACCTGAGGTACACAAAGACATTAGCCCTTAAATTTTTTAAGTGTTTAATTATTTGAGAGGCAGAGAGACAGAGCTCCCATCCGTTGATTCACTACCTGAATGCCATCCACTGACAGGGATGGGCCAGCCAGGAGCCAGGGAACTCAGGTCTTTTACGTGTGGCAGGGAATCAATGACCTGAGCCATTACCAGTTGTCTTCCAGGGTGTACTTGGAATCAGGAGCTAAGATTTGAATCTAGGTACTCAGATATATATGCCAGTGTCCCAACCAGCAACTTAGCCACTAGACCCAATGCTCACCCTTGCTTTGAAAAATTTTTTTTACATTTATTTTTTTATTGCTTATCTTGAACAGACAACAAAAGTATTATAAAGAAAAATTGCTTGTGAAATCCAAGTGCCTTTGAGTAGTTTATCAATATTAGTTAGAATTTTGGCTACATGTTTTATTATCTTTGTTTTAAAGTTATATTAAAGCATTTCAGTTTTGCATGTAAAGAATAGGATATTAATCTAGCCTTGTATATTTTCAAATCCTCAATTTTTGTACTGTTTCATTCACTATGGAAATTTTTAAAAAATTTATTGTATTTATTTGAAAGACAGCAGAGTTAGAGAGATACATCTTTGATCTGCTGGTTCACTCCCCAAATGGCCACAATGGTTGAGGCTGGGCCAAGCCAAAGCCAGGAGCCAGGAGTTTCATCCAGGTCTCTCATTTGGGTGTAGATGCCCAAGCACTTGGGCCATCCTCTGCTGCTTTCCCAGGCACATTAGCAGGGAGCTGGATTGGAAGTGGAGCAACTGGGACTCAAACCAGGGCCCATATGGGATACTGGTGCTGCGAGTGATGACTTAACCTACTAAGGCGCAGTACCAGTCACAGAAATAATTTTTCGTAATTCTAATTATGTTGAAAGTAAAAGACAGCATTCCCATGTTTTATTTTTGCTTTTTAAAATTATGTCTTTGAGATTTATTGATCAAGTTGTTTTTTGATTCTAATTTCTATGAAGATTCAAACTGTGTTTTTCACCTTACATAATGTTGTCTCTTTCTTTGTACAGGAGGAGGAAAATTACAGAGAAGAAGGAGATCCTAGAACAAGAGTATCAGATCCACAATCTCCACCCCAAGTATCTCGTCACAAATCACACTATCGTAATAGAGAACACTTTGCTACCATACGGACGGCATCACTGGTATGTACTATTTCTCTCTTGGACTATATATATATAGTTACATACCCAAATAGAACTATAACTCTTTTAAATTGGGGACTTTTGTAAAACATTCATTTAACATTTAAGAGAGAAATGTGTGCAGAGCACTCTGAGACATGTTAAACTAATACCTAATAGATTGATATATGTTAAATGCTTGAGAGAGAGACAGAGTGCTAAATAGAAATTCAGATAATTTTTGATTTGGAAAGTAAAGGAAATACTTATGAAACAAATAGTTTAAGTGTTTGCAATTAGTATATTTTAGCCATAGGGAGAGGGAAATATGTGTGAGGTTAACCAGACAGAAGAGACTGTTTGAAAATGGCAGGCATTTGATATATTCTAAATGTCATTCTGATTTCTCAAATAAGAGTATTGTTTGCCCATTACAAACTTATTATAGTGGAATACTCAAAACCTTGATCTGTCAAGATGGTAAGTAGAATAAACGCATGTTAAAGGATACTAGGGGTAGAAAGCAGGTATATTAAGGTTATCATACAAAAAGTAGGCTATTAGAAAATGTAACAGAAAGCATAATAAATGAAAGTTTTCTGATTTATCAATTCCCTAATGAGCAGATTTTTATAAATCCCATGCTGTGGCCCGTGAATTTGTATGATACATGGACTGAGGAATATAGTCCCCCACATTAGTCAGGTTATCTCTATTGTTCTTCAACATGTAAATAATGTTTTAAACAGAACAAATGACAAAGATTGCTTAATTTTGTCCTTGTCTCTATTTTGATAAATACCTACTGTGGGACCAGCTCTAGGGAAAAACTCTTGGTGACTTAGCATATATTAAATGTTTCCCAAGCAAATTTTGGCTTCTTCAAATTAAGAACACATATAAGTTATTGATATGATAAATCAAAAATGAGGACAAGATTTATATCCTTAAGCCACCTAATTCCATTAATTTTGAGTAAAATATAGAGTATAGATTGTTATACAAATAAGTATAGCTGTATTTTTTTTTTTTAGGATATCCAGGGCTTTATTTTATAATGCAGAGGCCATACCATGGCCCCAACCCCACTTTTTAAATGTTTATCACTCTAGGAAACCCAGAAATCCCCTTCATGACCTTTTGAAGATCATTGAACTGGAAAATTATACCCTTATTTCTCTTAAACAGATCAATATATAGTTGTATTATTGAATACATATTATGTACCATAATTCATTTTATGTTTTTCTGCCTTGGAATTACATCATACAATTTAATGAACATATCTTTAGTATTCAAATAGAAGAGTGTTTGTTTGTTTGTTTGTTTGTTTGTTTGTTTTTGGCAGGCAGAGTTAGAGAGAGAGAGAGACAGAGAGAAAGGTCTTCCTTCCGTTGGTTCACCCCACAAATGGTTGCTATGGCTGGCGCGCTGCATTGATCCGAAGCCAGGAACCATGTGCTTCCTCCTGGTCTCCCATGCGGGTGCAGGGTCCAAGCGCTTGGGCCATCCTCCACTGCCTCCTCGGGCCACAGCAGAGAGCTGGACTGGAAGAGGGGCAACCGGGCAGAATCCGGCGCCCCAACCAGGACTAGAACCCGGAGTGCCGGCGCCACAGGCAGAGGATTAGCCTCGTGAGCCGCGGCGCCGGCAAGAGTTTTTTATTTAAAAACTTCATTTATTTATTTGAAAGTCAGAGTTACAAAGAGAGAGAGAGAGTCTTCCATCCGCTGATTCACTCCCCAGATGGCCACAGCAGCTGGAGCTGCACCGATCCAAAGCCAGGAGCTAGGAGCTTCTTCCATGTCTTCGATGCAGGTGCAGGGGCCCAAGGACTTGGGCCATCTTTTACTGCTTTCCCAGGCCATAGCAGAGAGCTGGATCAGAAGTGGAACAGCCAGGTCTGAACCGGCATCCATATGGGATGCTGGCACTGCAGGCCAGGGCGTTAACCCGCTGCGTCATAGTGCCGGCCCCAGATAGAAGAGTTTTTAAAATTCTACACAGTTGCATTAACCATCACCTAAAAAAAAGTTACATCAAATTTCTGTCATCTGGGGCCAGTTTTGTGGTGTAGTGGGTGGGCCAGCATCCCATAATTGCATTAGTTTGAATCCTCCTCTGCTTCTGATCTAGCTCCCTGCTAATTTGCTTTGGGAAGCTAGTGGAGGATGGCCCAGATTCTTGAGCCCTTGTACCCATGTGGGAGACCCAGAAGAAGCTCCTGGCTTTCTCTCTCTCTCTCTCTCTCTGTAACCTCTGCCTTTCAAATACATAGATCTTTAAAATATGAATTATGAGACAGGCATTCAAAACTATCATCCCAGGAAGTTCTCTCTCTCTTTTATAATATTTAGTTTTATTTATTTGAAAGGCAGATTTATAGGGGCATGGAAGGGTAGACAGAGAGAGAGGTCTTCCATTCGCTGGTTCACTCTCCAAATAGGCACAGTGACCAGGTTTCTTCTGGGTCACCCACATGGGTGCAGAGGTCTAAGCACTTGGGCTGTCCTCTGCTGCTTTCCCCAGGCACATTAGCAGGGAGCTAGATTGGAAGTAGGGCAACCAAGACTTGAACCTGCACCCATATGGGATGCCAGCATTGCAGGCAATGGCTTTAACCTGGTACACCACCATGCCAGCCCTCTAAAAGGTTCTCTTTTATAGTCCTGTTTAGTCAGTTCTTCACTTCTGCGACTATCATTTTGTGTTTCTTCACTCTTGTTTGTTTTAAATATTCTTGGATTTTGTATCGGTGGAATCAAACAGAATATGCTTTTGGGTATCTGCCTTATTTAGCTCAGATTAATGTTTTTGACATCTGTTTTGTATGTTATTCAAAGTTCAGTCTTATTTATACTATAAACAGTTTCTCATTTTTTGATTATAATAGAATTTATATATATTTTTTTCTATTGATGAACATTTAATTTGTTTTCCATCTGGGGAGAGACAGAGAGATCCTCCAGCTGTCAATCTATGTCCCAAAAGGCCACAATGGCCGCAGCTGGGACAGACTCTAGCAGGGAGCCAAGAACTCCATCCAGGTCTCACGTATGAGTGGCAAGAACCTAAGTACTTGGGCCATCATCTACTGCTTCCCTTGTGCATTAGCAGGAAGCTGGATTGGAAGTGTAGAATAACTGGAACTTGAATCAGGCACTCACAGGTGTCCCAAGCAGTGGGTTAACCCATTGCAACACTACACCCACTCCTGTTGTTTTGCAAAGATTTATTATTTATTTGGAAGACAGAGAGAAGTCTTTTACCCACTAATTCACTCCCCAAATTTTCACAACTTCCAGGGCTGAGCCAGGCCAGAGACTGGAACCTGGAACAACATCTGGGTCTCCAAATGAGTCGGCAGGAACCTAAGTATTTCAGCCATAGCCAGCAGCCTTCCTGCTTCATCACCAGGAAGCTGGAATCAGAAGTGGAACTGGGACTCAAATATGGCTTGCAGGCATCCCAAGTGACATCTTAGCTAAATGCCTACCCCAGTGCTATATTCTTTACCAACTTTTTGTGTGAACATGGTGTTTTAATTTCCTTTAGTAAATTCCTAAGGATAGAATTACTGGATAATAGGATATATGTATGTTTAGCTTTATCAGAACGTGTCAGTTATCAAAAACTAGTTGTACTGTTTCACATACCCATTACCAAAGCATAAGAGTTACAGTTGGTCAACATCCTCTCCCAACATTTGATGTTATCAGTCTCATATTTTAGCCATTCTAGTGGGTGTGAAATAGAATGTCATTGTGATTTTAATTGGCAGTTCTTTATAACTAAAGATGTCATTTTTTATTCTACTTATTATCAGTTCATACTTTAAGTTTTTTTATTTATTTGAAAGACACACATACACACACAGGATAGGGAGGGAGGCAGGAGGGGAGATCTTCCATCTAGTTCACTCTCAAAATGCCCACAACAGCTGGGGCTGGATCAGGCCAAAGCCAGAAGCCTGGAACTCAGTCTGTGTCTCCCACATTGCTAATAAAGATCCAATTACTTGAACCATCACCTGCTATCCCCCAAGGTGTGCATTGACAGGATGCTTGATTGGAAGCACAGCAGGGCTTCAAACCCAAGCACTGTGATGTGGGACACAGATGTCCTAAGCAGAGTCTTAAATGGTTTGCCACATCGCCTGCCCCTCATATATCTTTTTTAATGAAACATATTTGTAAGTCTTTTGTTGGACCGTTTATCTGGTTTTGTTTGTTTTTTCTATTTGGGAGACAAAGCAAGCAAGATAGAAAACTCCCACTGGTTCACTACCCAGATGTCAGTAATGGCCAGGGCAAGGGTGTAGAGAACAAATTTAGGTGCTAATGGCTCAGTCTAGGTCTCCCATGCAGTGGTAGGATCCCAACTCCTTGAGCCATCACTGCTGCATCCCAGCATCTGCATTACCAAGAAAGTGAAATTAGGAAGCAGAGAACCAGGCTCTCATATTTGAAACTCAGTGTGGGACTGATGTCTCCTCACCAGCAGCTTGGTCTCTAGACCAAATGCTTGCCCATTCATCTTTTTTTGATGCACAGAAACTTTTTTTTTTTTTTTAAGATTTATTTTATTTAAGAGGTACAGTTAAAGAGAGAGAGGAGAAACGGAATCTTCCATCTGCTGGGTCACTCCCTAGATGGCCTCAATGACCAGGGCTAGACCAGATTAAAGCCAGGAGCTTCTTCCAGGTCTCCCACTTGGGCCATCCTCTGCTGCTTTGCCAGGTACATTAGCAGAGAACTGGATAGGAAGTGGAGCAGCCAGAACTCAAACTGGCATCCATATAGGTTGCCAGTGGCACACGCAGTAGGTAAACCTGCTATAGCACAATGCCTGCCCCAGGAGCTTTTTTAATATGGTCTGGATACAAATACTGCATCCCATATACATCTTAAAAATATTTTTTCTCCCTCTGTAATTTACCTGTTCCTTCTCTACTGTTTTGAATGATAAATTAAACATTTACATTAAGTTTGAGGGGCCAGTGCTGTGGCATAGAAGGTTAGGCCTCCTCCTGCATTGTTGGCATCCCATATGGGTGTATTTAACTGCAATAAAAAAGATTGTGAAAAGTAATCCATTTTAAACAACCCAATTTAAAATTAGGCAAAGGACTTGAACAGACATTTCTCTAAAGAAGATATACAATGGGCCAGCATTGTGACATAGTGGGTTAAGCTGCCACCTGCCACACTGGCATCCCATATGGGTACCCTTTCGGGTTCCAGCTACTCCACTTCCAATCTAGCTCCCTCCTAATGTGCCTGGGAAGGCAACAGAAGGTAGCGTAAGCCCTTGGATCCCTGTACCCACATGGGAGACCCAGAACAGGCTCCTGGCTTCAGCCTGCCCCAGCCCTGACCATTGTGGCCATCTAGGGAATGAACCAGCAGAAGGAAGACCTCTCTCTCTCTCTGCCTTGCCTTCTCTCAAATAAATGAAATAATTCTTAAGAAAAAAAAAAAGATACACAAATGGAAAAGGAACACATGAAAATATCAGTAGTTATTAGAAAAATGCAACTTAAAACCATAATGAGGCACCACTGCACACCCACTAGAATGCCTGTACTTAAAAGAAAACAAGATGAGAGGTATTGTAGCGCATATGTAATTCTTAAACATTGCTAGTCAAATGGGTTAGCCACTGCTGAAAAGTTAATGATTTCTCAGAAAGTTAAACATAGTTTCTGTATGACTCAACAATTTTACTCCTAGATATATACCCAAAAGAATTTAAAACATTATCAAAAGGATGAAAGACAGCAAGTGTTGGCAAGAGTGTAGAGAAAAGGGAACTCTTGTATATTGTTGTATAGCCTTTATGGAAAACAGTAAGGAGATTCCTCAAAAAACTAAAAATCGAATTACCATATGATCCTTTAATCCTGCTCCTGGGTATATATCCAAGAAACTGAAAGCAATATGTAGAAGGGATATCTATGTTCCCTTGTTTATTGTAGCATTATTCACGATAGCCAAGATAGGGAAATCAGCCTAAATGGCCATCACCAGATGAATAAATAAAGAAAATGTGGTATGTATATATACATACATAAAGTAGAATATTGTTCTACCTTAAAACGGGGGGCGGGGGGTGGAGATGAGGCTGGAGTTATGTAATGCCAGCATCCCTGTCAGTGCACCAGTTCAAGTCCTGCTTCTGACCCAGCTCGCTGCTAGTGCTCCTGGGAAAGCAGCAGAAGATGGCCCAAGTACTTGGGGCCCTACCGTCCTAGTGGGAGACCCAGATAGCATTCTTAGCTCCTTGCTTCAGCCTAGCCCAGCATCAGCTGTTGCCGCCATTTGGGGATTGAATCAGCTGATAGAAGATTTCTCTCTCTCTCTCTCTCTCTCTCTCTCTCTCTCTGTTTCTTCCTCTCTGTTACTCTGCCTTTCAAATAAGTAAATCTTAAAAGAAAAAAATGTGGGTGGGGGAATCTTGTCATTTGCAACCTCACAGATGAATCTAGAGGAAACTATGCTAAGTGAAATAAGCTAGGCACATAAAGACACATCTAAAAATCTAAGAAAACTAACTCCTGGTTAGAGAGAATAGAATGATCATTACCAGAGGCATTGTATATTTTAATAATAGAATTTTAATAGTAATATTCTAAATTAAAAAAAAAATTTGAAAAGGGCAGATGTTTGGCCTGTGGTTAAGACACTTGTATTCCCTATTGGATTGCCTGGGTTCAAAGCCTGCATCTAGTTCCTGAATCAAGCTTTCTGTCAATGTAGGCCCTAGAAGCAGTGATGATGGCTCAGGTAATTCCTGCCACTCATGTGGGATACCTGAATTGAATTCCTGGCTCCTGGCTTCGCCTCCAGCCACGGACCACTGGGGGCATTTGGGAAGTGAACTACTAGATATGACCATTCTAGTCTCTTTGTCTCTGTCCTTCTGCCTCTCAAACAATTAAAAGCTCAAATTCAGACAACTGCACATATGCTCATGTTCATAGCAACACTTTTCACAGTAGTCAAAAGGTATAAACAACACAAATTCCTATCAGTGGATTAAAAAATTAAACACACAATGGAATAATTCAACTATAAAAAGGAATGCTACAAAGGCCAGCACTGTGGTACAGTAGGTTAATCCTTCGCCTGCGGTGCTGGCATCCCATATGCACACGAGTTTAGTCCCGGCTGCTCCTCTTCCGATCCAGCTCTCTCCTGTGGTCTGGTAAAGCAGTAGAAGATGGCCCAAGTTGTGGTTGTTCTAGGTCCTTTACGTTCTCATATACAATTTTATAACCAGCTTATCTATTCTATTTCTTTTTAAAGTCTCCTGGAAATTTAATTGGACACTGCTAACATTGGGTTCTCTTACCTTAACTACCTACTTAATTAATAGTGGTATGGTCTAAAATGCCTTTGAAAAAAAATGTTTTGCCTTATTATTTTCTCTCCATTATTTTATGTCTAGGTTACAAGGCAGATGCAAGAACATGAGCAGGACTCTGAGCTTAGAGAACAGATGTCTGGCTACAAGCGAATGAGGCGTCAACATCAAAAGCAACTGATGACTCTAGAAAATAAGCTAAAGGCTGAGATGGATGAACACCGCCTCAGATTAGACAAAGACCTTGAAACTCAGCGAAATAATTTTGCTGCAGAAATGGAGAAACTTATCAAGAAGCACCAGGCTGCCATGGAAAAAGAGGTAGTTGATTCACTATTATTAATTTGCTTGTTTTAGCTTATGTCTTTCTCAAAATTAACCAACATGACGTTTTGGTATTAGGGTATCTGTTTCGAGGAACCATGTCAATTGAGGAAAGGGAGAAGCATTTATGTAACTTGCATAAAACTTTCTATTGATTGATGACAGATCAGTCACAAAAAAAGATGGTCCCCTAATTGTATATGTGCATTTTGAGTATGGAAAGTTAATTTGTTTTAATATCAAGTACTAATAATCATGGAGTCATATCCTTATGCTTGATAGTTTTATAGTGTCATGGGGGTAAGTCATTCATTTATTCTAGGATTTTGGCTCCCTGATTATCTGATAAAACCATTAGTAGATGATTTGGTCTCAAAAGGTCATTCATAATTCTGTCTTCTGTTTGGAATCCATCCTTATATTTTTAGTAGCATTTTCATATCAGAATATTTGAAGATTAAAACATACAGAGAATATTAGAAATTATGAATTAAAATTCCAGTTAATCCCAGGGCCCTCCTTGTGGTAAACCTCTACCTGCAACACCAGCATCCCATATGGGTGCCAGTTCATGTCCTGAATGCTCCACTTCTAATCCAGGTCCCTGGTGATGGCCTGGGAAAAGAAGCAGAAAATGGCTCAGGTGTTTGGGCTCATGCCATCCACATGGGAGACCAGATGAAGTTCTTGGTTCCTGGCTTCAGCCTGGCCAAGCATTGGCTCTTGCAGCCATCTGAGGAGTGAACCAGTGGGTGAAAGATTCTCTTTTTTTAACTTTAGAAGTAAATGAATGAATCCTTTTTTTTTTTTAAAGTAGCAACAATGTTCTCAATTATTTTAAAAAAATAAAAGATTTATCCTATTTGGTTAAGCTACCACAATGGCCAGGCTGGACTAGGCTAAAGCCAGGAGCCTGGAACTCCATCTGGGTCTTCCACGTGGGTGGCAAGGTTCCAAATGCTGGGGCCAACCACTGCTTTCCCAGGCGCATTAGCAGGGAGCTGGATCAGAAGTGAAGCAGCTGGGACTTGGACTGGCAACCATATGGGATGCTGGTGTCTCAGGCTGCAACTTAACCTGCTACTTTCAGTTTTTATCTACTTAACTAATTTGATTCATTTTTAATTTCATATAGGCTAAAGTGATGGCCAATGAAGAGAAGAAATTTCAGCAACATATTCAAGCCCAACAGAAGAAGGAACTGAATAGCTTTTTGGAGTCCCAGAAAAGAGAATATAAACTTCGAAAAGAGCAACTTAAGGAGGTACTTACTTTATAAAAATTTACTAACCAGTTACCTGCTTATTAGTTATAACTAATGGTTCTCAACTCTAAGTATTTTCTTTGGCTGTGGATGTTAAATAAATGTTAGCATAAATGAAGACATTGAATATAAGCAGTTATGCTTAATTGAGCTTCCTAGTCAACTAGGATCTAAAATAGGTTCTTGAAAATATGATTTTTAATAGTAGTTTAGGGGCTGGCGCCACGGCTCACTAGGCTAACCTTCCGCCTTGCGGCGCTGGCACACCAGGTTCTAGTCCCGGTCGGGGCACCGGGTTCTGTCCCGGTTGCCCCTCTTCCAGCCCAGCTCTCTGCTGTGGCCAGGGAGTGCAGTGGAGGATGGCCCAAGTACTTGGGCCCTGCACCCCATGGGAGACCAGGATAAGTACCTGGCTCCTGCCATCGGATCAGCGCGGTGCGCCGGCCGCGGCGGCCATTGGAGGGTGAACCAACGGCAAAGGAAGACCTTTCTCTCTGTCTCTCTCTCTCTCTCTCTCACTGTCCACTCTGCCTGTCAAAATAAATAAATAAATAAAAAATTAAAAAATAAAATAGTAGTTTAGTTACATGTTATGTAACTTACCCATTAAAAATAAAAACATATAAGCTGTGGAAAAAGACCACATTTCATACTTTAAAAATAAACCTTACCTTAGAAGATTATAATAATTTCTTTTTATAATAATTTTAACATGGAAAAAGGATAAGAGGCATGTTTGTCACATTTTCTTTACTGGATCAATATGCTAATTATTTCTTCATGGTGACATGTTTTAATATTTGCCCTTCATGCGCTACTTTTTAAACTTTTTAAAAAAATCAGTTCGCATTAACTTTGAAGAAAGCCTTAGTTCCAGTGTGAATGACCAACTGAAATTTTTAGTACATGTGATTAGTTAGCACACTATGATAACTTAATTGATCTTGATAAAATAAAAATTATTCTTTGATATTAATGCTTTATATGTGTCTAAGTATTGGCCTTGTAATCATGTATGTTAGTCCTATTGTGTACAAATTAGTGGACAAAGACTTGCTATAAATACTCTGCCAAAGAGTTTCATTTATAAAATTTTCCAACTCTAAAAGGTATAACCTGTGAAATATTCCCGTAACAATAATACAAAAATCAAACTCTATATTGGAACACTGAATATGAAAAAATTATAAATGGGATTTCTATCTGTAAATATCCAACATAGTACATTGGTACACTTCAGTTTTCCAGTGAAATGAAATTTTACTTTATGGGTTAGTTTTGATAATCCTTTAGGCAAATAGCTTGTAGTCAAACCAATTTATTTTCTTTTGTGTGTGTAGTATGTTCATTTAGAATAATGATCCTCACTATAGAACAAAGGTGGGGAACCTTTTTTCTACCAAGGATTTATTTGGATATTTTTATTTTGAAGATTTATTTATTTATTTGGAACTCAGAGTTACAGAGAGGCAGAGAGAGAGAGTGAGTGAGTGTGAGTGTGAGTATTTCATCTGCTGGTTCACTCTCCAGATGGCCACAACGGCTGGAGCTACACTGATCCAAAGCCAGGAGCCAGGAGCTTCTTCCGGGTCTCCCACTTGGGTGCAGTTGTGCAAGGACTTGGGCCATCTTCCACTGCTTTCCAGGCCATAGCAGAGATCTGGATTGGAAGAGGAGCAGCCAGATGCCGGCACTGCAGGCTGCGGCTTTACCTGCTATGCCACAGCACCGGCTTTTCATTCATAGGCCATACAAAATTATCAACCTAAAAATTGGCCTGCTACAGATATATTGAATTTCAAGTCCCATCTGTGCTTGCCTTGGCAGGGCCAGAGCACTTAAGACCCATGGGCCAAATGTTCTCCATCCCTGCTAGAGAAAAGAACATATCAGAGAGGGGGAGTTTTCTGGCAGATTTTTAAAGACACCCAAGTGATTCTCTGCATGTACCCATGTCATTCCTGCATCTTCCCATAGTGTCTTTTTTTTTTATTTAAATAATTATTTATTTATTTGAAAGAGCTACAGAGAGACAGAGGCAGAGAGAGAGAGAGGTCTTTGATCCGCTTGTTCACTCCCCAAATGGCCGCAAAGGCCGGAGTTGTGTCAATCCAAAGCCAGGAGCCAGGAGCTTCTTCTGGGTCTCCTGTGCGGGAGCAGGGGCGCAAGGACTTGGACCATCTTCTACTGCTTCCCCAGGCCACAGCAGAGAGCTGGATCGGAAGTGGAGCAGATAGGACTCTAACCGTTGCCTATATGGGATGCCGGCACTGCAGGCGGCGGTTTTACCTGCTATACCACAGTGCCGGCCCCCTATAGTTCTTAAACGTACACTCCTGCATTGAGAACTACTAATTTCTTTGTTTTTATTTTTATGTGTTTGAATATCTTATTAATTAAATATCTAAATAAATAGTCTCTTTGTTCAATAACAGAGGAAAGACTCTAAGTTTGCTAATGCCTGAAAAGTCATCTCATATCTAGGAAAGATGACCACTTTATATTCTGTAAATGATTGATGCTAGTATGTTAATTAACATGCTAGGATTTGCATCACTGACTGTATTGTCATTTTTTTTATCTTGTCCCATATAAATGTGTTTTCCTGAGGTAGTTTGTGAGATGGTATTTAAAACTGTTTAGAAAAGTATTGATTTTAGGGGCCAGTGCAGTGTCGTAGTGGGTAAAGCCACCCACTTCAGTGCCGGCGTCCCATATGGGCGCCGATTCGAGTCCCGGCTGCTCCACTTCCAATCTAACTCTCTGCTATGGCCTGGGAAAGCAGTGGAGGATGGCTCAAGTCCTTGGGCCCCTGCTTTCATGTGGGAGATCCCAGAAGAAGCTCCTGGCTTTGGATTGGCACAGGTCCGGCTGTTGCAGCCATCTGGGAATTGAACCAGTGGTTGGAAGACCTCTCTCTCTACCTCTTTGTAACTTTGCCTCTTCTTGTCTCCCTGTGTAACTTTCACTTTCAAATAAATAAATCTTTTTTAAAAAGAAAAGTATCGATTTTAATTTGTTCAATGGTTACTAATTCTGTAAATTAAATACCATTCATTGGTTTATATTTAATTCCTGGTTCTTTTTTAGAATTGTTAAAATTGTGCCAGAGGGGCCAGCACTGTAGCGTAGTGTTCAGCAGCATCAGCATCCCACATGGTCACTAGTTCGAGTCTCTGCTGTTCCACTTCTGATCCAGCTCCCTGCTAATGCACCTGGGAAAGCAGTAGAAGATGGCCCAAATCCTGGGGCCCCTGCACCCATGTGGGAAACCTAGAAGTTCCTGGCTCCTGGCTTTGAGTTGGCTCAGTTCTGGCTGTTGTAGCCATTTGGGGAATGAACTAGTGGATGGAAGAACTCTTCTGTCTCTACCTCTCTCTGTAACTCTTTCAAATACATAAAATAAACCTTAAAAAAAAAAATTTTTTTTGCCAGAAATGTATTGAGAATGTCCAAAACTAAGAAGTGAAATATTCAACTATATTTTAGTCCTGATTTCAATTCATAGATGATTTTTTTAACGATTTATTTATTTATTTGGAAGTTAGAGTTACACAGAGAAGGAGAGGCAGAGAGAGAGAGAGAGAGAGAGATCAATCTTCTATCTGCTGGTTCACTCCTCAGTTGGATATAACAGCCAGAGCTGTTCCAATCTGAAGCCAGGAGCCAGGAGCTTCTTTTGGGTCTTCCACACGGGTGCAGGTACCAAGGACTTGGGCCATCTTCTAGTGCTTTCCCAGGCCGTAGCAGAGAACTGGATCAGAAGTGGAGCAGTCGAGTCTCGAACCGGCATCCGTATGGGATGCTGGCACTGGAGGCGGTAGCTTTACCCACTATGCCACATGTCCAGCCTCATGCATGATTTTTACCTGAAAGTACTGCATTGTTAATGTGCTTGGAAAGAGTGTTTTTAATATTTATTTATTTAGTGAAAGGCAGAGTGAAAGAGAGAGAGAGAGATCTTCCATTCGCAAATGGCTATAACGACCACAGCCAGGAGTCAGGGGCTTTCTTCCAGGTCTCCTATGTGGGTGCAGAGGCCCAAGCTTTTGGGCCATCTTCCACTGCTTTCCCAGGCTCATTAGCTGGGAGCTAGATCAGAAGTGAAACAGTCAGGACTCAAACAAGTGCCCATATGAGGTGCTAATGCTGTGGGCCACAGCTTCACCCGCTGCACCACAGCACCAGCCCCATTTGGAAAGGTTTTATTTTTATTTTTTTAAGATTTATTTATTTATTTGAAGGTCAGAGTTATATATAGAGAGAAGGAGATGGAGAGAGAGAGAGGTCTTCCATCTGCTGGTTCACTCCCCAACTGGCTGCAATGGTCCAAGCTGTGCTGATCCGAAGCCAGGAGCCAGAAACTTCTTCCAGGTCTCCCACATGGGTCCAGGGGCCCAAGGACTTGGGCCATCTTCTACTGCTTCCCCAGGCCACAGTAGAAAGCTGGATCGGAAGTGGAGTTGCCAGGTCTCTAACTGGCACCCATATGGAATGCCAGCCCTGCAGGTGGCGGCTTAACCCACCACACCACAGCGCCACCCCTGGAGAGGTTTTAAAGAAGGATGTGTCTTATGTCTGGTGCTAAGTTGTTTTTTATGTTTCTAGGAACTGAATGAAAACCAGAGCACCCCAAAAAAAGAAAAACAGGAGTGGCTTTCCAAACAGAAGGAGAATATACAGCATTTCCAAGCAGAAGAAGAAGCTAACCTTCTTCGACGTCAGAGACAATATCTAGAGCTAGAATGCCGTCGCTTCAAAAGAAGAATGTTACTTGGGCGTCATAACTTGGAGCAGGACCTTGTCAGGGAGGTACGTTAGAATGAGATAAAATTGTAAATCCTTTATAAGGGTAATCTTCTGATAATATGCTGATTATGTTATAGTGTCAAAGCTTTTGTACTATACTATCTGCCTAGATTACTCTTCTCTATGTTTCTATTCCAGTGTAATCTCCTCAGAATTCCTTCCTTGACCTCTGGATCCTTTTCAGACACCTACATGTATGCACTTTTGTCCCACTGGAATGGAAATTGTTAAAGTTCCAGGCTTTTTAAAGTTCTTTATATCCCCAGTGTCTGACCTATCATATAAATTCAATAAATATTTATTAAATCTGTGAATGAAATTAATTTTTAGGGTCTGGTGCTAGAGTGTAGCAGGTAAAGCCACTGCCTGCATTATTGGCATCCCATATCAGTGCTGGTTCAAGTCCTGGCTGCTCAACTTCCCATCCAGCTCTCTGCTATGGCCTGGGAAAGCAGTGGAAGGTGGCCCAAGTCCTTGGGCCCCTGCACTCACGAGGGAGACTAGGAAGAAGCTCCTGTCTTCAAATCGACACAGCTCCAGCCATTGCAGCCATCTAGGAAATGAACCAGCAGGTGGAAGACCTGTGTCTCTTTCTGCCTCTGCCTCTCTGTAACTCTGCCTTTCAAATAAATAAATGTGTTAAGAAATATTTTTTAAATATAAGGAAATCAACTGGGTAATCTTTGCCTCTTTGGTCTGAAATATGTGCCATGTGTATTACCATGTAACATATTTTTATAATCATATAATTATTAATCAGGTAAATGTAGAAATTTTTCTTAAGATTTATTTTATTTATTTGAAAGGCGCAATTACAGAGAGAGATCTTCCATCCACTGGTTAACTCCCCAGAATGGCCACAATGGCCATGGCTAGGCCAGTCTGAAGCCAGGAGCTTCTTCAGGATTTTCCACATGGGTACAGGGACTTAAGGCCTTGGGCCATGTTCCACTGCTTTCTCATGCACTTTCTGGATTGGAAGTGGAACAGCCAGGACATGAACCAGCACCCATATGGTATGCTGGCATTGTAGTCTGTTGCTTTACTGGCTATAGCACAATGCCGACCCTGTAGAAATTCTTATAACAGTGAAAATAATTTTCCTTATGATTAGGATACCTGTGAGCATAGGTAAATTTACTGTCAAAATTCGGTTAAAATAAACTCCTAAATGTTATCATTATGGGAATACCCTAGTAAAAAAATTCAAATTGGAACTTGTTACAGATAGATCAGAAAAATTAGTAAGATTTATAAACAGTACTATTAGTGGCATGGGTTAATGGACACTGTCAGAAAGGGTCTAAAGTGGTACTCACCTTTGGGAGTGTGAATTATAGCACTAGCTTTTTTTTTTTTTTTTAAGTTTTATTTTATTTATTTGAAAGACAGAGTTATAGAGAGAGGTAGAGACAGAGAGAGAGGTCTTCCATCCGCTGGTTCACTCCCCAAATGGCCGCAGTGGCCGGAGCTGCGCTGATCCAAAGTCAGGAGCCAGGAGTTTCTTCCAGGTCTCCACATGGGTACAGGGGCCCAAGGACTTGGGCCATCTTCTACTGCTATCCCAGGCCATAGCAGAGAGCTGGATGGGAAGAGGAGCAGCTGGAACTAGAACCAGGGCCCATATGGGATGCTGGCGCTTCAGGCCAGGGCATTAACCCACTGCGCCACTGAGCTGGCCCCAGCACTAGCTTTTAAAATGTAATATGTACATATGCTTTTCCTGCCAAATCTGCTTCTAGAACTCAATGCTACAGTAATAGCTTGATTATAGGATGCACCACAGCTAGGTATTTATTTTTACTTTCTTTATAAATGCAAATAATGGAAACACTCCAGCCATAGAGGAGTGATTGAAAAACTGTTGTCACCACAAAGCAATAATTTTGAATGAAACTTAAAAATCATTTGTATGTGCTGATCCTATCTGGATATATGAAGAAAGCAGATTACATACTTGTATATATTGTTCAAATTTAAAAAATACATAATAATATATAATAATTGTGTCACAATAAAGAAGGGGAAAGTTGAGCAGCATAGGCACCAAACTGTTAGCTTCTAGGTAGAGATTGCAGAGGTAAAGGTGGCAAATCTGGCTTTTACATTACATATGGACATGGGTACTTGTTTTTAACCTCAGAAAAGGATTTTTTCATAAAGTGACAGCATGTATTGAGTACCAGGTGCTAGATATTATTCTGAGAGTTCATTATTTTTTAACTCATTTCTTTTTCTATTTTTTTTTTAAGATTTATTTTATTTATTCGAAAGATAGAGTTACCGAGAGAGTAGAGACAGAGAGAGAGAGATGTTCCGCCCGATGGTTTCCTCCCTACATGGCTGCAACAGCTGGAGCTGCGCCGATCTGAAGCCAGGAGCCAGGAGCTTCCTCCTGGTCTCCCACGTGGGTGCAAGGGCCTAAGGGCTTGGGCCATCTTCCACTGCTTTCCCAGGCCACAGTAGAGAGCTGGATCGGAAGAGGATCAGCCGGGACTAGAACCGGCACCTATATGGGATGCCGGCGCTTCAGGCCAGGGCATTAACCCGCTGTGCCACAGCGCTGGCCCCTCTTTTTCTATTTTTTTAAAAAATTATTTATTTATTTATTTGAGAGGCAGATTTACAGACAGAGAGGTCTTCCATCCACTGGTTCACTCCACAAATGGCCAAAATGGCAGAGCTGGGCCTATCAGGAGCCAGGAGCTTCTTCTGGATCTACTATGTGGATGCAGGCACTCTTAAGCTACTATGCCATAGCACTAACCCCCCTTATGTTAAATCTGTGAAATAGTTATATTACTTTCTGGATTTGAGAGGTGATGTAACAGAAGCATAGAGTTTTTTGTTTGTTTTTTTAAGATTTGTCTATTTATCAAAAAGCAGAGTTACAGAGAGAGGGACCAAGAGAAAGAGTGATCTTCCGTGCACTGGTTCACTCCCCAAATGGCTACAACTGCTGGGGTTGATCCAGGCCAAAGCCACGAGCCTGGTTCTTCATCTGGTTCTCCCATGTGGGTAGCAGGGTCTCAAGTAGTTGGGCTGTCTTCTATTTTCCCACACACATTAGCGAGGAGTTGGATTGGAAGTGGAGCAGCCAGAATTTGAACCAGCACTCTAATATGGGATGCCAGTTTCATAAGCAGTGACTTAATCTGCTGCACTGTAGTGCTGGGCCCAGGAGGCAAATTTTTAAAATGAGGCCATTAAGCTGCTTGAGATAGATTTGATAATGTCTTAAATTTATTGCAGTAAAATGTTAATGCATGGGGCCAGTGCATGGTTAATCCTCCGCCTATGGTGCCGGCATCCCATATGGGCACCAGGTTCTAGTCCTGATTTCTTCTCTTCCAGTCCAGCTCTCTGCTGTGGCCCGGTAGAGCAGTGGAGTGGGAGCACTGCACCCACATGGGAGACCAGGAGGAAGCACCTGGCTCCTGGCTTTGGATCGGTGCAGTGTGCCAGCCATAGCAGCCATTTGGGAGTGAACCAATGGAAGGAAGACCTTTCTCTCACTGTCAAATAAAAAATAGTTAATGCATAATAAATGAATATGATAAGGAAATTTATGGTACTAACTGTCCATTTACAAAAGTAAAGTTATAGAACCCTGATATTTACTGTTGAATCAAAGGGTTGATTACATTTGTTTCCTGGTTATTCTGTTACCTGAAATTTTTTTTCTGGCATTGTACGCAATAAATTATATCCTTGTCTTTTTGTTATGGTTTAGGAGTTAAATAAAAGGCAAACTCAGAAGGACTTAGAGCATGCCATGCTTCTGCGACAACATGAATCCATGCAAGAACTGGAGTTCCGCCACCTCAACACAATTCAGAAGATGCGCTGTGAGTTGATCAGACTGCAGCATCAAACTGAACTCACTAACCAGCTGGAATATAATAAACGAAGGGAACGTGAACTAAGGCGAAAGCATGTCATGGAAGTTCGACAACAGCCTAAGAGTTTGAAGGTACTTACTTACTTTTATTTGAAAGGCAGAGAAACTGAATGAGACAGAGACAGGTATCTTCTAGCCACTAGTTCACTCCAAAGCCCACACCAGACAGGACTGGGCCAGATCAAAGCCAGAAACCCAAAAGTTAGTCCAGGTCTCCCACATGGATGACAGGGACCCAAACCTTGAGTTGTCACTGTTACTTCCCTGGGTGTGCATTAGCATGAAGCTGAAATCAGAAGTAGAGCTAAGACTTGAATCGAGCCCCTTCATGTAGGATGGGTGTTCCATAAGTGTCATAACCATTCTGCCAAATCCCACCCTAAGCCTAAGCTTCTTTACAAAGGGGATAGGATAATAAGGCACCCATGTTAGCAGGAAATGTCTAAGACCTATGTCCAGTTATTAAGAAATTGAGAGAATGTTTTTGTTTTCATTTGAATTGTTTTAGTATGGAATGTCTATCACTACAGAACTTTGCTTATATACTTTTCATCAGCATACAACACAGTTGCCAAAATTTTAACTGTAGGGGAGTGCTACTAAGTAAGAATCAAGATTCTTATTGTAATGTACCCCTTGTCTAGTACTAATAATAAATTCCTTGCGTCAACATGCTAACCTGTTGGCTTTTCCTTGTTATTTCAGGTAATAGAATTTTGGAAGTTTAATTTACTCTAAATGTGATTTGTACCAAATATAAAAGTACATTATAAATAAAAGGTTTCCCCCTCTTCCCTTTTCCTTTCAAGCCACTTGATCCATTCCCCTTCATGAAAGTCAACCAGAGCTAACAATTCTGTTTGTAACTTAAATATAAATATTTGAAGGAGTAGAATCACATGAGTCTTAATAAGCAAAACCCAAAAGTACTTGATATATAGGCTGTCATTGGTGATCAGATCATTGATCTGTACAAGTCTGCATATTTTATACCTCTTTATATTCAGTAAGGCCCACATTCTACAATATTTCTTAATTAAAGTCTCTTCTCTACGTCCCTGCTAGTACTTTTCAAACTAATATTTAAGCCATAAAACTGTTCTTTGTTTTTTTCTGGCTAACTCTGCTGGAGTAAAGTGCAGTTCATTTACAGAAGTAATCTGTGTGCAGATCTAGAAGCTACAGTACACCCAATGGTATTGCCTAGTCCCATCATAGTCCATTCAAACAAGCTATCCTTAACAAAAACAGAAGCACAGTTAAGATGCCTTAACCTTTCCATGTGTCTGAGTAAAATATCACTTTACTCTGTCTTCAAGATAGCTAATTATTTCACCACTTACAGAGTAGTTATGTTGGTTACCATAATCTTCCTTTGTCAATGCTTAGGAAAATTGGAATTCATGATGATTTTTTATATGTATTTTGTTTCTGCAGTGAACATATAATCATTTGGCTATGTAATAGCAATCTACCACCAAAAGATATATAAAGCAATGTCTATGGAAATAATTAAAAAAAATTTTTTTTTTTTTTGACAGGCAGAGTGGACAGTGAGAGAGACAGAGAGAAAGGTCTTCCTTTGCCGTTGGTTCACCCTCCAATGGCTGCGGCTGGCGCACCGCGCTGATCCGATGGCAGGAGCCAGGTGCTTCTCCTGGTCTCCCATGGGGTGCAGGGCCCAAGCACCTGGGCCATCCTCCACTGCACTCCCTGGCCACAGCAGAGGGCTGGGCTGGAAGAGGGGCAACCGGGACAGAATCCGGCGCCCCGACCGGGACTAGAACCTGGTGTGCCGGCACCGCTAGGCGGAGGATTAGCCTTGTGAGCCGCGGCGCCGGCCCGGAAATAATTAATTTTTTTAGAGATTTTTACTTATTTATTTGAAAGGTAGATTCCCAGACAGAGAAAGGGAGAAACAGAAAGATCCTGCATCCACTGGTTCACTCCCCAAATGGCCACAACAGCTGGAGCTTCCTCCAGGTCTCCCATGTGGGAGAAGGGGCTCAAACACTTAGGCCATCCTCCACTGCCTTCCCAGGCCATACACAGAGAGCTGGATCAGAAGAGGAGCAGCCAGGACATGAACTGGTGCCTGTATGGGATGCTGGCGCCGTAGGCAGAGGCTTAGCCTACTGTGCCACAGCACTGTCCCCAGTAATTGTGATTCTAAAGACAGCAGCTCCTGAGAGTAAACCAAACTGAAAGCTTGTTGATTTTCTATATTCATACCATGAACCTGATGTGACTGCATTTCTCTGGTGTTTAGGTGATGGGTAGTTGTTTTACTTTAACCTTTCCTTTTGTGTCCTGTTATTAGAGACTTTTCAGTTTGAAAGCTTATAAACTGTAGTCTGATTTTTCTTAGATACTACATAAAAAGTAAGGAGAAAGTAGTATTTCCCATTCATGGTTAGTTTTTTAAAGACTTACTTATTTTTTGAGAGGCAGAGTTACAGAGAGAGAGAGGTCTTTCATCCACTGGTTCACTCCCCCAACGACCACAACAGCAGAGCCGGACCAATCTGAAGCCAGAAGCCAGGAACTTCTTCCAGGTTTCCCACGTGGGTTCAGGGGCCCAAGCATATCAACCATCTTCCACTTCTTTCCCAGGCCATTAACAGGGAGCTGGGTCAGAGTGGAGTAGCCGGGATTTGAACCAGTGCCTGTATTGGATGGCCATGCTGCAAGTGGAGGCTTAACCTACTATGCCACAGCACCGGCCCCTAGATGTTTGTCTATTTTCCTCTTGACAAGCAGAGTGGACAGTGAGAGAGAGACAGAGAGAAAGGTCTTCCTTTGCCGTTGGTTCACCCTCCAATGACTGCCAAGGCCAGTGCACTGCGGCCGGCACACCGTGCTGATCCGAAGCCAGGAGTCAGGTGCTTCCTCCTGGTCTCCCATGGGGTGCAGGGCCCAAGCACTTGGGCCATCCTCCACTGCACTCCCTGGCCACAGCAGACAGCTGGCCTGGAAGAGGGGCAACTGGGACAGAATCCGGCGCCCCGACCAGGACTAGAACCTGGTGTGCCAGCGCTGCAAGGCAGAGGATTAGCCTATTGAGCCGTGGCGCCGGTCTTTTTTTTTTTTTTTTTAAATCATTCATCTGTTTATTTGAAAGAGCTACAGAGAGAAAGAAATATCTTCCATCTGCTAATTGACTTCCCCATTGGCCACAATGGCCAAGGCTGGGCCAGGCCAAGGCCAGAAGCTGGGAGATCTTTCTGGGTCCCAACATGAGTGGCACGGGCCCACATATTCAGGCCATCCTCTGCTGCTTTCCCAGCCCTTAGTAGGGTGCTGGATCAGAAGAAGAGCAGCCAGGACATGAACCAGTATCCATGTAGGATACTGGTGTTACAGTCCACTGCTTAACCCTCCACACCAGGAAACCAGTCCCTCCAAGGTTTTAAATTGAGGAAGAAGAATCTTCAGTCTGAATACTTACATGTGTTGATTAGGATTTGGGGTGGGGCACTGTTTCTGTGGAATGGGTTGTATAAGATTACCTTCAGCTGTCATCCACGTGGTGCTTTGTCTGTGTTCAGTGGAAGTAACTTCAGCTTATTTTCATCTTTGACTTGAGTCAGACATTGAGAGTTACAGTTTATTGGAAAAAGCCTTATGCTTGTTGAAGAGTTTTTCAAGTTATTTTTTTCTCATTGGGCAGTGATATGGAATTATTACAGTGTTCATGGCACAACATTAAAGAAACAGAATATAGTCAGAGATTGGTGTTTTGTAGCAATGGCCTGTGATGCTAGCATCCCATCCGGTGCCTGTTCAGGTCTCAGCTGTTCCACTTCCAGTCCAGTTCCCTGCTAACATGCCTGGGAAGATAGTGGAAGATAGCCTGAGTACTTGGACCTGAGTGGAATTCCTAGCTCCTGGCTTTAGCTTAGCCCGGAACTGGCTGTTGGGTCATTTGGAAACTGAACCAGAGGATGGAAAATCTTTTTCTGTCTCTTAATTTCTCTCTGTCACTCTGCCTTTCAAATAAATAAATATTTTTTAAAAATTGAATACAGGCAGTTAATGTGCATACTTCAATAAGTTCACAGAAAATGGAATTAAAAGCTTATTTTGGTGCAAACAAATTTTGAAATCCTTGCAGTTTCTTCATAATGGCATTTCTATAAACTTTTTGAAGATCCCTATGTAGAAGCAGAAGGTATCTAAATTTCATTCTTCCATTTCTGTCTATAAACACTTGCAAGAACTTTGTTAACTAGGAACTGTATTTAATAGCAGTACTACTAAGCCTAGATAAATCAAGAGTTTCTCTTTTTAACTAGGTAGCTCTTGATCTCTCATAGAATAAAAGCTTATGACAATGCCTCACTTGGTGAAAAATATGAAAATATTTAAATTAGTGTTACAGGTGAGGGGGAGACTTTTTCTTAAATAAGTAGAAATTTGGTCATATATGCATTCATTGCACACTGAATCAACCAACCAATACCTGGTAGTATGTATATTAAGGTAAAATAACTTTATATTCTGCCTCAATGTAGTAAATACATAGATTCTTACTTGTAGGCTTGACCAGTATACCTTGTAGGAATTTATCTCATCTTGTTAAAATTTCTTTTTAAAAAGGATTTATTTAGTTATTTGAAAAACAGAGTGATAGAAAAGGAAAGTGAGAGAGAGAGAGAGAGAATGATTTTCCTTCCACTGGTTCACTCTACAAATGGCTACATCAGCTGGGATTGAACCAGGCTGAAGCCAGGAGCCCGGAAATCCATCCATCCCATCTGAATGGCAGGACCTCAAGTATTTGGGCTATAATTCGCTGCTTCCCAAGTACATTAGGAAGCTAGATTGGTACAAGAAGAGCCAGGACTCGAATGGCACTCTACTTGTAATATTGTATCAAGCAGTAGCCTAGCTCGCTCCATCACAATGCCCATCTGTTAGTAAAATTTTGTAGAAGCAAGGGCTGGTGCCAGCCAATTTAAATCCACTTATGATTCAGCTCCCTGCTAATGCCCCTGAGAAAGATGGCCCAAGAACTTGGCCCCTGCACCCATGTGAGAGACCTGGATGAAGTTCCTGGCTCCTAGCTTCTGCCTGGCCTAACCCTGGCAACTGTGGCCATTTGGGGAGTAAACCAGTGGGTGGAAGATCTTTCTCTCTCTCTCTCTGTCTCCCTATAAGTCTGCCTTTCAAATAAATAAATAAATCTTGAAAAAAAATTTTTTAAACTGGAGTACATAGATTACCTACCACAGTAATTAACATAAAACAAAAACCAAAGATCTTCTGTCTCTAAACTCAAGTTAGTTTTTTCAGAAATCTTTATGTAATTTATGTAACCTCAATGAGAATTGTCCTTCCTTTGTTCCATAGTCTGTCTTTTTTTTTTTTTTTAAGATTTATTTATTTACTTGAGAGGAAAAGACAATTGTAATGGCAGTGTTCATTAGTTAGTAATAGAGACTTCAAATCATCCTTAAGTTTGGCCATAGACCCTATTTTTGGGGGATCTATTTAGAGAATGTAGTTAGTAGTTGAGATTATCTCTAAAAGAAACTGCGGCAGGGCAGGTGTCAAGATGCCCAGATCCCACATGGGACTATCTGGGGTTGACTCCCTGCTCTGGCTCCTGATTTCAGCTTCCTGCTAATGTAGACCATGAGAGGCAGAGATGACAGCTTGAGTAATTGGGCTCCTACCACCTACTGGGAAACTGATTTGAGTTCCTTGCTTACAGTTTCTTGTTGGTTGTGGGCATTTGAGAAGTGAACCAGAGGATATGAGCTGTCTGTCTCTATATCTCTCCCTATGTATCTTTCTTCCACTAAATAAATAAATAAATATTTTAAAAGAAAAACAAAATTGGAAGTGCTTTTTTTTTTTAGATAAAGAGCAGAATGTGTGTTTTTTTGTTTTTTGTTTTTTGTTTTTAAGATTTATTTATTTACTTGAAAGACATTTGCAGAGAGAGAAAGCTGAGAGATCTGTCTGCTGGTTCCCTCCCCAAATGGCCCCGACAGCCAGCTAGGGCTGAGCCAAGCGTAAGCCAGAAGCCAGTAACTCCATCCTGGTCTCCTACCTAGGTAGTTAGGGCCCAAGCACTTGGACTATTTTCCACTGCCTTGCCAGGCACATTAGCAGGAGCTGGATTAGAAGCAGAGCATCTGGGGCTTCAAACTGGTGCTTGGATATGGGATGCTGATATCACAGATGGTGGCTTAACCCACTGTACCACAATGCCAGCTCCCAAATATGCTTTATTTTCAGCCTCAGTAATCCAATAAAATGTTGTTTTGCCAATAAAATGCTTTTATATCTACTTAATTCCTCAGAAGAAGTTTGATTTTCTGTAATGAATGCAAGCAGTAATAAAAGCTCATTTTAAGGATTGGTGCTGTGGCATAGTGCACTAGGCCTCTGCCTGCAGCACTGGCATCCCACATAGGCACCAATTTGTGTCCCGGCTGCTCCTCTTCCTATCCAACTCTCTGCTATGGCCTAGGAAAATAGTAGAAGATGGCCTAAGTGCTTGGGCCCCTGCACCCACATTGGGGAACCAAAGGGCTCCTGGCTCCTGGCTTTGGATTGGCCTAGCTCCAGCCATTGCAGCCATTTGGGGAGTGAATCAGTGATGGATGACCTCTCTCTCTGCCTCCACCCCCCATAACACTACCTCTCAAATAAATAAATAAAATATTTCTTAAAAAGCTAATTTTAGTATTTATTGAAGACACTACATTTACTAGTGAAATAACATGTATTGCTTAAAGTCTGGGGATAAATGGCTATTTTTTAATATTTTAATGTTTTAGAGTTTTTATTGTAAAAAATGCATAGAATCCAGTGTTTTGACCCAGTAGTCAAGTATGAAAGGACCTGCAACCTTATACTCTAGCTTTTTTATTTTGCCTTTCCCTTTTTATTAGCAGATAAGCATGAGGTATACCAAATGTTGTATGTTAAAACTAAACCTTTTTTCCCCCTCAGTCGAAAGAACTCCAAATAAAGAAGCAGTTTCAGGATACCTGTAAAATCCAAACCAGACAGTACAAAGCACTAAGAAATCACCTGCTGGAGACTACACCAAAGAGTGAGCACAAAGCTGTTCTAAAACGGCTCAAGGAGGAGCAGACCCGGAAGTTAGCCATCTTGGCTGAGCAGTATGACCACAGCATTAATGAAATGCTCTCTACACAGGCTGTAAGTTTGCTTTGTTTAAGCAAAAACAAATTTAGTGCCCTTTTACTTCAACTACCTGAATGAAATCTCAGCAGTTAAAGTTCTAGTTGTAAATGATAGCTCTCTTGTAGCTTGTGAAATGGTGGTGGTAGTTTGTATTCTTTCTGTTCTCAACATTGCTTGGAAATGTCATGCTGCATACAGAGTTCTTGGTGATATACTTAGATATGAGATTCTTTATAGGTTCCCTGCTGACACAGATCTTAACAGCTTATTAAAATTAGAGCAGTTCTTTCCGCCATTTTTCCATGCCACCAAAATGGACATGAACATCTTGGCTAATGCTCTCAGGAGCATCAATAATGCAAAAAAAAAAAAAAAAAAATGGGGGGGGGGTGCTAAATGCCAGGTACTTATTAGGCTATCTTCCAGAGTCATCTTCAGGTTTCTAACCATGGTGATGAAACATGGTTACATTGGCAAATTTGAAATCATTGGTGATCACAGAGCCGGGGAAATTGTTGTGAACCTCACAAGCAGGTTAAACAAGTGTGGAGTGATCAGCCCCCGATTTGACATGCAGTTGAAAGATCTAGAAAAAGGCAGAACAATGTGGTTCCGTCTCACCAGTTTGGTTTCATTGTACTGACCTCAGCTGGCATCATGGACCACAAAGACACAAGACAAAAACACATAGGAGGGAAAATCCTGGTATTCTTTTTTCTAGGGATGTAATGCAAGCTTAAAATAAAAGCTCAATGGACCAAAAAAAAAATCAACAGATTTAGTAAATTGTGATCAAAAATTAGTACTACATTGGAAATTCAAGTGGTTGTATTTGAACACAAATATGAAACTTTTTGTATATGGGAGTTGTGTAATCTTTTCCTTAAAGGGCTAAGTAATAAATATTTTAGGCATTACATACCAGTAGACAAAATTGAGGATAATGTTTGTGTAAGTATTTCAAAATCATTCTTAGCTAGTGGGTTGTTTAAAAACAACAACAATAAGAAAAACAAAACAAACAAGTGGATGACCATATTTGGCCCATAGGCTACAGTTTCTGGATTCTGTTCTATAGTTATTTCTAGAAGGGAAGAAGAGATTTAGAGTTTTGTATTACCTATAAAACCAGATTCTAGGTTTTCCTTAGGAAAAATGTGGTTATTCAAACATCCTCCAAATAGCTTATGATAGCTTTATCATCATAATGCCATCATTGGATATTGTGCCTCTTTTTTTTAATCCAGAGATGTTTACTCTTAGAAAAGAGAACAATTGGGTGACCTGAGTAGTCTTTTCCAACACTTCTCCCTCTTTCTATGGGTCATGAATAGGTAGCTCATGGTAGAATGTAACTTTTATTTCTCCCTCAGCTACGTTTGGATGAAGCACAGGAAGCAGAGTGCCAGGTTTTGAAGATGCAGCTGCAGCAGGAACTGGAGCTGTTAAATGCATATCAGAGCAAAATCAAGATGCAAGCTGAGGCACAACACGATCGAGAACTTCGGGAGCTTGAACAAAGGGTCTCGCTCCGCAGGGCACTCTTAGAACAAAAGGTATATGTAAGAGAAAGAAGATAATTGTTCTGGTCAAATATTATTATCAAAATAATTTATAATTTTTATATTGACAGGTTACATTAGATTTCTTTAATTGCAGTTAAGTAGGGTTTTGTGGTGTTTTTTGTGTTTTTTTTTTCCCTTTAAAATTTTTGACTCAGTATGAACCTATAATTAATGAGTTCTACAAATGAAGGCAATATAATTGAGATGTGGGGTTATGTAAAGAGGGTCAGTTGAATTGTGAGAGTAGCAACTCTGGCTCCATGTTCCTCACTTCTTTTGTCTACCTAGCTCTACCTAAGGAGGTTGGAGAAAGACTTGACTAGTGAAAAGAAAGAACTACAGTAGTTGCCTGGGAGAGGCAGGGACAAAGGATCAGGAAGATGTACTTTACTCATACATCCTTGGCCTGGAACTTTACAGATTACTGAGGGTCAGAAGGTAAAACCAGTTCCACACAGTTGAAAAGTCAGGATGAAACATTGCTTCTGGAAACATTTTTACTTTGTCAGATATGTTAAAGAATAGAACTGGAGTCCCCAAATACATTTCCATCCTTTAGAGTGCTGAGGTGAGAAAAACAGAAACAGAGAATGTATCTATGTGGGACACGTGTGAGTTGGGGAAAAGAGGAAGAATGAGATTTTGAGAGGAAATACAGCTGGTATAGTCCTAGGTACATTGGGCATTACTAATACATGCTTAATGATCTTCCTTAAGTTATTGTTTCTAGGCCATAGGCCTATAGATTTTCCTATATTTCCTATAAATTTTGTAACAAAACTAGAAGGTGTTATCAGATTTGAAAATATATATTTAAAAAATTCATGTAAATAGGATATTGTAATTTCTCTGGCATAGATGTCTTTATTAATGGCCTCCTTAAGAGAGATACTTACCTGACTCTAAAAAAAATTATCTTGGGGCCGGCACCGTGGCTAACTTGGTTAATACTCCACCTGTGGTGCCGGCATCCCATGTGGGCGCCAGGTTCTAGTCGCGGTTGCTGCTCTTCCGGTCCAACTCTCTGCTGTGGCCCGGGAGGGCAGTGGAGGATGGCCCGGGTGCTTGGGCCCCCACACCTGCATGGGAGACCAGGAAGGGGCATCTGGCTCCTGGCTTCCGATCGGCGCAGCACCGGCCTTGGCAGCCGTTTGGGGAATGAGCCAACTGGGGAAAGACCTTTCTGTCTCTCTCTCTCTCACTGTCTATAACTCTACCTGTCTAATAAAAAATAATAATAAAAAATTATCTCAAGTATTTTTCTCATTTAAGATGGGAAGGATAGAAACACATATATTTTGAAAAATCTTATTTTGTCTGATTACAACTTTTGTATTTAAAATCCAATCTGGGCTGGTGCCGCAGCTCAATAGGCTAATCCTCCGCCTGCAGCACTGGAACCCTGGGTTCTAGTCCTGGTCGGGGCACTGGATTCTGTCCCGGTTGCCCCTCTTCCAGTCCAGCTCTCTGCTGTGGCTTGGAAGTGCAGTGGAGGATGTCCCAAGTGCTTGGGCCCTGCACCTGCATGGGAGACCAAGAGAAGCACCTGACTCCTGGCTTTGAATTGGCACAGTGCGCCGGCCGCAGCGGTCATTGTGGGAGTGAACCAACTGAAAAGGAGACCTTTCTGTCTCTCTCTCTCACTGTCCGCTCTGCCTGTCAAAAATAAATAAATAAATTTTAAAAAATCCAATCTGAAGTTCTATTTCTTATGCTTCACAATTATCACTAAAAGGAAAACTCCCAGTATTATTTCAGGAATAGTATTTTTGGTATGATTGGGGGCCAGTGTTGTGGCACAGCAGGTCAAGCAACTACTGACGTTCCATTATGTGCACTGATTCGAGCCCTGGCTGCTCCACTTCTGATCCAGCTCCCTGATAATGCACCTGGGAAAGTAGCAGAGGATGGCCCAAATATTTGGGCCCTTGACTGCAGCCTGGCCCAGCTATGGATGTTGCAGCCATTTGGATAGTGAACAAACAAATGGAATATCTCTCTCCATATATAACTCTGCTTTTTGAATAAATAAATTAAATATATATACATATGTAAAATTAAAGGATGGTTGTTATTTTAGTTCTACCTAATGATTCAGAGTTAAACAATGCTTAGCATATTTTGTCTTAATGTTTGAAAAAAAGCCTACATGTTACATAAAGCCAGGTAAAGTGCAGAAATAAAACCAGTTTCCAGGGCCAGCACTGTGGCATAGTGTGTAAAGCCACCACCTGTGGCACTGCCATCACATATGGGTGCCAGTTCAAGTCCTAGCTGTTCCTCTTCTGATCCAGCTCTCTGCTATGGCCTGGGAAAGTAGTAGAGGATGGCCCAAGTCCTTGGGCCCCTCTACCCATGTGGAAGACCGGAATAAGCTCCTGGTTCCTGACTTCAGATCACCCCAGCTCCGGCCATTGCAGCCATTTGGAGAGTGACCAATGGATGGAAGACTCTCTCTCTCTCTGACTCTGCCTCTCTGTGTCTGTAGCTCTACCTCTCAAATAAAATAAATAAATATAAATCTTTAGAGAAAAAAAAAGTACCCACTAATGAAGTTGAAGTGGTAGTCATCTTGGAAAGCAAGTAGAAAAGAGATATATTGAGCCTTGAAAGTGTTAATTTTTTTAAAGATTTATTTATTTGAAAGAGTTACACAGAGAGAGGAGAGGTAGAGAGAGAGAGAGAGATCTTCCATCCGTTGGTTCACTCCCCAGTTGGCCGTAACAGCCGGAGCTGTGCTGATCCAAAGCCAGGAGCCAGGAGCTTCTTCCAGGTCTCCCACCTAGGTGCAGGGGCCCAAAGACTTGGGCCATCTTCCCAGGCCATAGCAGAGAGCTAGATTGGAAGTGGAGCAGCTGGGTCTTAAACCAGCACCCATATGGGCTGCTGGTGCTTTAGGCCAGGGCGTTAACCCGCTGAGCCACAGCGCTGGCCCCAAAAGTGTTAATTTTTTTAAAATGATACATTTATTTATTTGAAAGGCAGAGTTACAGAGAGACAGAGAGAGAGGTTTTCCATTTGCTGGCTCATTCCCCCAAGTGGCTGCAACAACCAGAGCTAGGCTGATCCGAATCCAGGAGCTTCTTCCAGGTCTCCCACGTGGGTGCAGGGGTCCAAGGACTTGGACCATCTTCTGCTGCTTTCCCAGGCCAGAGAGCTGGATCAGAAGTGCAGCATCCAGGTCTCGAATCAGCACCCACATGGGATCCTGGCATTATAGGCGGCAGCCTTACCCACTATGCCACAGCACCAGCCCTGAAAGTATTATTTAAAACTTTGAGAACTTATTCTAAGGAAAAGAAATCCAAAATATAGGGAAAATTATTTGCATGAATATTAATTAGGACATATTTTATAATACTTTAAATAACTACCTAAAATAGAGGTATAATTAATTAAATAAGGCCTTGACACTAAAATCTGATTCAGCCACTTAAATTATGGGTGTAAAAATGATTTTCATATGGAAAAATATTTTTAAGATATGTTGTATAAAATATAAGAAATCATAATTAAAAATTGGTGCTGGCTTTATATAATAGTGGATTAAGCCACAGCCTGCAATGAGAGCATCCCATATAGGCACCATTTTGAGTCTTGGCTGCTCCACTTCTGATCTACCTCCCTGCTAATGTGCCTGGGAAAGCAACAAGATGGCCCACATGCTTGGGCCCTTGCACCCTGTGGGAAATCCTGATGAAGCTCTTGGCTTTGGCCTGGCCCAGCCCTAGCTGTTGTAGCCATTTGTGGAGTGAACCAACAGATGGAAGATTTCTGTCTCTATTTCTCCTTCTCTCTGTCTAACTCTGCCTTTCAGATAAATAAACCTTTTTAAAAAAAATCATGCTGGCCGGCGCCGTGGCTCAATAGGCTAATCCTCCACCTTGCGGCGCCGGCACACCAGGTTCTAGTCCCGGTTGGGGCGCCGGATTCTGTCCCGGTTGCCCCTCTTCCAGGCCAGCTGTCTGCTGTGGCCCGGGAGTGCAGTGGAGGATGGCCCAAGTGCTTGGGCCCTGCACCCCATGGGAGACCAGGAAAAGCACCTGGCTCCTGGCTCCTGCCATCGGATCAGCGCGGTGCACCGGCCGCAGCGCGCCGGCCGCGGCGGCCATTGGAGGGTGAACCAACGGCAAAGGAAGACCTTTCTCTCTGTCTCTCTCTCTCACTGTCCACTCTGCCTGTCAAAAAAAAAAAAAAAAATCATGCTTAGAATGAATGAAGTAATGTTAATATTGTTTATATTAGTATGATAGTTGATTCCTTTTCCTGTTTTTCTGGTTATAAAATGTGCTTTATATTAATTTGATAATAGAAATATACTTCAGATTATTTGATACTTAAAAGAATAAGTGGCGGGACCAGCATTGTGGCATAGTGGATAAAACCGCCACCTGTGTTGCCAGCATCCCATATGGATGCCAGTTCGAGACCTAGCTTTTCTGATCCAGTTCCCTGCTAACATGCCTGGGAAAGCAGCAGAAGATAGCCCAAGTACTTTGGCCTGTACCCACATGGGAGACCTGGAAGAAATGGGTTAAGCCACCTCCTATGACTCCAGCTCCCTGCTGATGGATCTAGGAAGGCAGCAGAGGTTGTGCCTAGGTGGTTGGGCCACTGCATAATTATGGGAAAATTATGCATGAATTTTTAAAAAATTCATATTGAAATAAATTTATCTTTTAATTCCATTTTCTATGGATGTTCTGAAGTATTTTCATGCTTTAGAAATACTATTTTTCATAAAATTAATATAGAATTTAACTTTTATAATCATATTATCTAGCTGGAAACAGTGTAATGAAAATTGAGAAAAAGTGAAACAAAATTTCACGTATATGTGAGGCTTACTTTGTTGCTGTCTCAACCTAAAGGGACAATTTTTGCTTGCTTGGGTGCTTAAATCAATCTTCAAACAGAATTACTCATGTAAAATCAGCAAACTTTTCCTCCAGTGTCACTCATTTATTTTCAGACGGAGATTTCTCATCTGT